CCTACCACTGTACACTTCTGCAGGTCACAAGGTCCGGAGAGAAATGAGTCTTGCCAGGGTGGCTTAGGGAATCAGGGAGAGGGGTCCACCAACTCAACCCTAAGTCTCAGTTACAGTGGAAAAATCGCTCTTTTCCCTTCGTGTCTCTCCACGGAGCTTTTTCACCATATCTCTTTGAATCTCTGTTGGCTACTTTTGCCTTTGTGTTACCTGTCTTAGTACCATTACCCATCTTCCCCTCTCCCATCTTCCTCCCCACCCCCATTGTCTCCCCTTCCATCTCCTCCCCAACCTCTTCTGCTCTTCCTGCCCACCCCTCCCCAGTCCTCTCCCATCTCTCTTTCCCCTTGATCTTGTCTCTCTCTCCAGCCTTCCACCTCTTTCTCCCTTCCTTGGCACTCTCTCACTACCCCACTCTACCCTACTCCGCTCCCATCTCTCTTCCTCCTGCAGTCCATCTTCCCGTCTTTTTTTTTTTAATTTTTGAGATGGAGTCTCTGTTGCCCAGGCTGGAGTGCAGAGGCTCAATTTCAGCTCACTCCAACCTCTGCCTCCCGGGTTCATGATTCTCCTGTTTCAGCCTCCCCAGTAACTGGGATTATAGGCACGAGCCACCATGCCCAGCTAATTTTTTAATTTTTAGTGGAGATGAAGTTTCACCATGTTGGCCAGGCTGGTCTTGAACTCCTGACTGCAAGCAATTCACCCACCTCCCAAAGCGCTGAGATGACAGTCATGAGGCTGAATCCTCCCAATTCAGCCTCCCAAAGTGCTGAGATGACAGTCATGAGCCCCCGAGCCACGCCACCATCTTCTTACCTATCATCTTTCTCTTTCCCTCCCTCCTTCCCTCCCTTCATCAAATTCATTCCCCTTCACCCCAAGTCTCACAGTGAAACTGCAGCCACAGTTACTCCTTTCCCCCACTCAGGCTTTCCCCCTGGTTGGTGGCTTCGGGCCCCTCCCCAGAATAAGAAAAGAGATGAGGTGAGAAGGTGATGGATTCAGGGGGGTCCACAGAGTTTCCAAATCCCCCTATACACCCACCCCCATTTCGCCAACCCAGTCAGGCTCTCTGGTATTGCAGAGTAAGACAGATAGGGACCCCAGGTCCCTCCTTTCTGGCTCCCCACCCACCCGGAAGTCCTCCCTGAGGTCAGACCTCAAGCACTCCAGCTGCCCTAATCCACCCTAAGCTTTCCCACACCTCGGGGTGGGATGAACCCCTGGTGTCCGGGTCTGAGCCGGATCTCCCCTGCCAGGGCGGGGCTGAGACTGGGGGGAAGCCCTCAGGGGACTTGCACCCCCACACCAGGAGACTGGAATTTCTCCTCTTTCATTTCCTTATTGTCTCTGGAGAAGGGTGTGACAGAGCAGAGGAAGGCAGAGTGAAGCCAGAAGCCAAGTTTCTCGTCCCAGACCCAAGCCAGGACCCCAGCCTTCTGCGTGTGGGGCTTCTGCGTTTCCACCTCAAAAACGGGGGAGCAGCGGGGTCAGCTAATCTGCAAGAACCTGAGGCCAACAGGGATATCCTGGGATGGTAACTGTCCAAGTTCCTTGCAGACAGCAAGTTCCCTGAGTGTTAATGTCACCCCAGCCAGAGGGTGCTATGGGCAAGAAGTAGTTTGGGGACCCTCTCAGCTCTCATTTGCTGGCTGAGTGTAGATTATTGTTCTGACCCAAGGGGAAGAGGTGGCCTCACTTGATGGGAAGGTCGGGGAGAGCCTCAGAGAGTACCCCCCAACCATTTCCATTCCTGCACATATTGACTCTTCCAAAATATGCCCGAAATGCTTATTACCTGCAGACTGTCACTCTATTACTATTATTATTATTTTTGTGATAGGGTCTCATTCTGTCACCCGGGCTAGAGTGCCACGATATGATCACAGCTCCCAGCAGCCTCGACCTCCTGGCCTCAAGCCATCCTCCCACCTCAGCCTCCCAAGTAGCTTAGACCATAGGCATGGCTGGCTAATTAAAAAAAAAATTTGGGGGAGGGGTAAAGACAGGGTCTCCCTATGCTGCTGAGGCCATCCCCGAACTCCTGGGCTCAAGTGATCCTCCCACTTCGACTTCCCAAGGTGCTGGGATTACAAGTGTGAGCCATAGTGCCCGCTATCCTTCAATTTCTGCCAAATTTCCATACAAATTATCCCCTAAACTTGGATCTATTCAGACTGTGCCCCAAATATCAACTCCTCCTGCCTAGACCCCCGTCAGTTACTTAAGATGTGTCCCCAAAACACCTGTAGTTGGTTTGTACAATTGGTCTGTAGTTGGTTCCTTTAAATCGGGCCCCCAGACTTTGAGTTCTTCAGAGGTCCAGCTGGGATCATCCCCCACGACCTGGAAGCCTCCACAGGGAAGGTCTTCCACATCTCTCAACTGATACTTCCAGCCACCCTGACTCCACCTCTCAACACTCCCAATCCCTTCCCCGGTTGGCCCTGCCCCACCCCACGTGCACCTCACACCTCCCCAAACCCAGGACTGGCCCCTCCTGGGCACCGTGCCAAGCCCTGAAGGCCTGGGGATCCAGGAATCCCACCCTACAGTTTCAAACCCCAGACCCAAGACTCAAGCACGCTGGGGCCCCCGAAGCCACCAGATCTTCAATCCTGGAAGAGCCCAGCCATTCCTGCTACACACCCCTCTTCAAGCTCACAGTCCCCTTCCACTTAGAAGTCCAAGTGTCCAGATCCCCCCGCTCCTTCTCAGACAGAGACCTCAACCCCCAGCCCCCACAACTTCACAACGTTGATTATAGAGTGAGTTAGCTAAGGTGTCGGAGTCCTTGCAGCAAGAGGAATGTGAGTCAGACTTGGGGAAGGACTTTCTGTCTGCAGGGGTGAGGGAATTAGGACATGCTCCCATCCCCTACTCCAGGGAAGCCTCGTCTGAGGTGAGACTGGATGGGAACTTTAGCGATAGTTGGAGGTTGCTGGATGGCAAGGAGCAGGGGAAGGTGCATAATCTAAAACTCTCCAGCTGCCGACTTGGGGAGTCCCTGCTGAGGGTCAGGGGTAGGGTCGGGGCTGGGGCTGGGGGATGGAGATCGGCCCCTCTCCTGCCAGTGCGGACGGCCACATCTGCTCCCAGATGCCCACCTGTTATTTCAGACTCCCGAAACGAAGCTTCATCTCTGAGCACCCATCTCTTACCCCTGAACACCAACCCCTATTTCTGACCCTACCTTACATCGCCAGCTGATGCTCACCCCCGAACCCCAGTTCTTTAACACAGTATGCTGGCCCTGAGCTCCCACCTCACTCTTCCCTTAATGGTGACTCCTCCTCCATCTTTTAGTCTTTCTTTCCCTCCAACTTTGAACCTCACATCCTGAATCCCTCCACCCTGTCCCCTACCCTGGAACTCTGATTCCTATCTTTGGTTGGTTCATTTAAATCCCTGGCTTTTGGGGGCCCCCAACACCCGGCTCCCACGTTTAAGGTGTGACCCGACCCTTGGCTAAATGTTCCTGACTTCCATTTTTAAGCCCCGGCCGCGGCGTGGCTGCACTAACAGCGTTCCCATCCATGCCTCGTCCTGGGTCCCTGACTCCCACACCTGGTCTCCGCGCCCCCAGTTCCCCGGCTGCCCAACTAGACGCCTTTGCGCCCATCTGAACCCACACCCAGTCCCTGCTCCATGTGAGCCCACAGCCCGATACCTGGCCCCCACTTCCCGCTCCGCCATCCCCGAGGACACACCTCGCCCGCCTCCGGGTAGTAGCTCCACTCGGCCAGGTCATGGGCCTCCATCTTCACCGAGCCCAGCATCCCCCGGGCTTGCGCCCCCACCCGCCCCCGCTCCGGCCCCGGGGGAACGGAGCGCCCTGGATCTCTCCGCGGGCACGGCCAGAGCTCTCACCGGCGCCCGCCCGTCCGACCGCCCGGGGTACGGCTGTCCCGAGCGCCGCGGGAGGTGGCCACGCTTTATAGCTGGGACACCCCCGCCCTCGCCCGCCCCGGGCTCCCCTCCCGCCTCCCCCAGGGCGGTGCTCTTGGACTGGGGCGCCCCCTGCGGGACTGCCAGGAGACAGACCTCAGGCGCCGGGGACCGCAGCCCCGGGACGCGACAGCTGGGGGTGATTCAGGAGCGAGGGAGCTGCCGGTTAAGACGTTGCAGATACCAAGGGCCCTGAGGGCAGAACTCTGGAGCCTTTCTACAGCAGGGGGTTTCATCATCTCAACAGGAGAGGACGAAGAGCCAGAACCAAGCGTGAACACCGGGGAAGAGAGAGGAATTGGAGCGCTAGGGCCTCTATGCGACTGTAAAGACCCGTAAGCGAAATCACATCCCCATCGGACAGACAGGAAGACTGAGGCTTCCGACGGCTAGAAATGCTTCAATTTGGCCGGGCGCGGTGGTTCACGCCTGAAATTCCAACACTTTGGGAGGCCGAGGCGGGCGGGCGGTTCACTTTTGGTCAGGAGTTCAAGACCAGCCTGGCTAGGAAGGTGAAACCCCATCTCTACTAAAAATACAAAAACTAGCTAGGCATGGTGGTGCATGCCTGTAATTCAAGCTACTCGGGAGGCTGAGGCAGGAGAATCGTTTGAACTCTGGAAGCGGAGGTTGCAGTGAGCCGAGATCGCATCACTGCACTAAGCCTCGGCGACAGAGCAAGACCCCGTCTCAAAAGGAAGTGCTTCAGATTGTTGAAATGGTCAAGAACAAAGGTGGAGGTGATCGGGGCCTCTGAGCAGACCCCACTAGGGCAACAGACTCCCTTCCTTCCAAGACCAGGAGCTTCGCTGCCCAGACTCCCCATTCTGCAATATCAGCCAGCCGTCCAGGGACTCAGCACCACTGAGAACTTCATTTCCCAGAATGCTCTAGCTCCCTTTCCGTCCTGTGCCTGCCAAGTGACTACATTTCCCAGAAGACGTAGCGACCCAGGACCGGATATCAAAGGGCCGCTCGCCGTAGTATGGAGGCGGGCGGAAGACCGCTCGCACGGTGAGAGGCATGGGTGGGGTCGGGTTGTGGTCTGGACTCCATTTCCCGGCGGCCCTGCGTGTGTGGCGCGTGCGCACCGTTCCCCGCGGCGAACGGAAGATGGCGGCGGCAGCGTCTAGGAAGCGGCGCTGCTGAGGGGGCGCGAGGGGGACGGAGGCCGGAGCCGTGGTGAGCGGGAGGCGGCGTAAGGGCCCAGGGACGAAGGGAGGAGGCACCTAAAGAAAAAGGGGCGCGCGGGCGGGGATGGCGCCGCTGTAGGGAGAAGGGAACAGTGGTGTTAGCGACCCGTGTTTCTTTCCCTGTTCAGGACCCTTTTTTAGCTCCCTAGTGCCCTCGGGGCAAAGTTCCAACGTGGCCTCCTGGCGCATCCGCCCCGCAGACCTCGCCGGCTTCGACCCGGCCTCTTTGCTTCTTCCCCACCTCACAGCCGCCCTGTCCTTTCGGTTCCTTAAACTTGCTGTGTGCTTTCCCGCTTCGGAGATTTTGCACAGGCTGTCCCTTCTGCCCGCAACATCCTTTTACCCATTCTGTCTGGCTAACTCCCGTTCATCCTTCGGGTCTCGGCACCAACGTCACTTCCTCTGCGAAGCCCTCCTTCCCTGCCCTCCATCCCGAAATCCTCCTGTTAAATGCTCCTTTTGGTCCCTGTTTCTTCATGTCACGTGTTGTCTAATGTGTTATCCGACTCTTATCTGTGTGCTGTTTTATGATGTCTGTGACCGTGTGTTCCATGAGAGTAGGGACTGGGTTTGTCTCTGTCGCCACTGTGATCCCAGCACAGCGCCAGTCACGCCGGAGGCGGTAATGCTCACTGAATGAATGAAAGATACTCCTAGGGCCAGTCTGGGGAAACACGGCAGTCGTCTGATTCTCAGGTGGCAGTGGGGCAGGGTACCACTCTTCTCCGAGCACACCGAGAGGGAAAGGGAAACAGTGATACTGTTCATCATAGCAAAAGGCTACACTCATCCCAAATGTTCTTAAATAAGACTGGCTGAAAGAAACTATAATACATCCACATAAAAAAATACTGTGCAACTCTAGAAAGGAATGAGGTAGATGAAAATCTCTATACACTGATATAGTGGCCTCCAGCATATATTAAGGTGTTAAGAGAAAACAAGTGAAGTGGAGGTTAGTGTTTATTGTATGTTTCGTTTTGTTTGTTTTTGAGGCAGGGTCTCACTCTGTCGTCCAGGCTGGCAAGATCTCAGCTCACTGCAACCTCCGCCTCCCTGATTCAATTGAGTCTCCCGCCTCAGCCTCCTGAATAGCTGGGATTACCAGCGTGTGCCACCATGCTCAGTAATTTTGGTATTTTTAGTAGAGACGGGGTTTCACTGTGTTGGCCAGGCTGGTCTTGAACTTCTGACTTCAAGTGATCTGCCCACCTTGGCCTCCCAGAGTGCTGGGATTACAGGCTTGAGCCACCAAGCCTGGCTTATATATGTCCTTTTTACAAAAGAAAGGGAAATATTTATATATGAGGTTTTTTTCTTTTCTTTTTCCTTTTTTTGCATAAAATCCAGCTCCTGCGGGAGAATTTTGTGTAAGTGTGTTTAAAAAAACAAAAACTGAAAGCATAAACCAGAAAGTAGAAGAAGAATGAAGCAGTAAAATATTTTGGTAGATCTGGATGTATTATCATCATGAAAAAAAGTGGAAATGTTTATTATGGGGTTTTGTGTTTGTTTTTGTTTTGTTTTTTTGAGGCAGAGTCTCTCTCTCTCTCTCTGCCAGGTTGGAGTGCAGTTGTGCTGGGATTATAGGCATGAGCCACCGTGCCTGGCGGTTTATTGAGTGTGCTGGTTGTCAGGTGGCCATGATCCTTGGCTTACATAAACAGACCTGGGCGTGAAAAACAGTGCCTTTCACATAAACAGTACTGCAGCATAGTGGTAAGGAAGCTCTTCATCCATGCTACTGGCTCTGCCTCTTACAAGTTGTGTGCCTTTGATCAGGTCGTTTACCTCCTTAGTCTTCAATTTCCTCATCTGTAAAAGTGAAGATTAAAAATAGTAACTTCCAGGGCCAGGCGCAGTGGCTCACGCCTATAATCCCATCACTTTGGGAGGCCAAGGCAGGTGGATCACCTGAGATGGGGAGTTTGAGACCAGCCTGACCAACATGGAAAAACCCCATCTCTACTAAAAATGCAAAATTAGCTGGGTGCGGTGGCTCACACCTTTAATCCTAGCAATTTGGGAGGCCAAGGTGGGCAGATCATAAGGTCAAGAGGTTGAGACCATCCTGGCCAACATGGTGAAACCCCATCTCTACTAAATATATAAAAATTATCTGGGCATGCACCTATAATCCCAGCTACTCAGGAAGCTGAGGCAAGAGAATTGCTTGAACCCAGGAAGCAGAGGCTGCAGTGAGCCGAGATCATGTCACTGTGACAGAGTGAGACTCTGTCTCAAAAAAAAAAAGATACAAAATTATCTGAGCATGGTGGTGCATGCCTGTGATCCCAACGACTTGGGATGCTGAGGCAGGAGAATTGCTTGAGCCCAGGAGACGGAGGTTGCAGTGAGCCGAGATCACGCCATTGCACTCCAGCCTGGGTAACAAGAGCGAAACTCCGTCTCAAAAAAGAAAAAAAGAGAGAGAGAGAGAGAACACTTGGGTTGCTTCTAGGCTTTATTATCAATCGTTCTGTAATTGGTATATCCTGCTGTGTTAATCATTTCAGAGTTTTGCTGGTGTGACCGTGATAGATGCCTAAAAGCCCCCTTCCTCCCTTTTACAAACAGCTTTGTAGTGTTCTAGAGAGCGGCTGAAACATCATTTATTGAAGCAGGCCTTTTCTGATGTATTGAGTGCCTACTGTGTGCTGGACGCTGACTGGTATTCCTCAGAGCTGTGTTTTTTGAAAGTTTGCTCTGAGCCAGGCACTGTGGTTGACGCCTGTAAACCCAGAACATTGGGAGGCCAAAGGAGGTGGAAGTTCAAAGTCAGGAGTTCAAGACCAGCCTGGCCAACATGGTGAAACCTGGTCTCTACTGAAAATACAAAAATTACTGGGCATGGTGGCACGCACCTGTAATCTGAGTTATTCAGGAGGCTGAGGTAGGAGAATCACCTAAACCCAGGAGGTGGAGGTTGCAGTGAGCCACGATTGTGCCACTGCACTCCAGCCTGGGTGACAGAAAAAAAATGTTTTCTCAAAAGAAAGAAAGTTTGCTCTTGTGCCTCAGGCACATCCTAGATGAAGAGACGGGAAGCATGGAGACTGCGAGGTGACTTGCACATTCATGTGGCCTGTGATTCAGCACGTTTGTGGTTGGCCCACTCTGTGTAAAGCACTAGAGGTGAGGCTTAGGCTTCTGCCTCTGCCTTGGGAGATATCAGTCTTCCCCAAGTTATAACCCCCACGCACACATCCGTAAGCCAGAGACAGACCCTGGAGGGGAGAGAGGCTTCAGAAGGCCTGACAGGGAGTTACAGGTTGGGAAGGAGGCTTGAGCCCTTTTTGTAAGTGTTCGGGTGACAATCCAGCCCAGCCCGTCTGCTGGTCCCCTGAGCTTGACTCATCCTCTTCTTTCCCAGGGACGACCTGCCGACAGCATGGCAAGCAGCAGTGGGGACAGCGTCACCCGCCGGAGCGTGGCATCACAGTTTTTTACTCAAGAGGAGGGGCCGGGCATTGATGGCATGACCACCTCAGAGAGGGTGAGCATGGGCGGGGCTTGGACTGAGGCAGAACAGTGCCTGGCTTTGGACAATCCACATTTAGGTGACAGAGCCCTGGGAGTGTCAAGGGGGCTGGACTGGGCCGGACTGGACTGGCGCTATCCCCTGCCCCCCCCTCCTTCCAGGTGGTGGATCTTCTGAACCAGGCAGCGCTGATTACCAATGACTCAAAGATCACAGTGCTTAAACAGGTGAGGGCTTGGGGACATCCTGGGCCAAGCAGGACAAAGGGAGGAGGCTGGGAACCTGAGAAAGAAGACACTGGCAATAACACTGGCATCCACATTTACACACGCAGTGTGTGCCAGCCACGGTGCTCAGTGCTGTGCCGGCCTGTGCTCCTCTAGTTCTCATGAAAGCTCCGTAAGGTAGGGTCGTTTCATCCCTGTTTTAGACAGAAAAAAGCAGACCCTGGGGCTTAAATCATTAGCCCAAGGTCACTCTGCTAGGAGCTGGCTGAACTAGTACTTGAATCCTGGATTCCAGCTCCAAGTTCTACGCTCTTCATCATTGCCTTTCTTCTCTGCCAATGTCCAGTCCGGTGGGGCAGACATGCCTGTCACCAGACAATAATGACCCAGCAGGACTGGGATGGAGAAGGAAGCCCAGGGGAGCTGTGGGAGCCCAGAGGGAGCTCCTGATGCAGCCTCGGGATGGGGAGTCAGGGAGGACTTTTGCCGTGGAGGACAAAGAATAAAGGAGAGAAGTGTACCAAGTGAGAGAGGCAGAGCATCTCTTTGGAGACAGTCTGGCTCTGTCACCCAGGTTGGAGTGTGGTGGCATGACCCTGGCTTACTGCAACTTCTGCCTCCTTCAGGATATTCACCTGCCTCAGCCTCCTGAGTAGCTGGGATTACAGGCACGTGCCACCATGCCTGGCTAATTTTTTTTTTTGAGACAGAGTCTTACTCTGTTGCCCAGGCTGGAGTGCAGTGGCACAGTCTCCACTCACTACAGCCTCCACCTCCCAGGTTCAAATGATTCTCCTGCCTCAACCTCCCAAGTAGCTGGGACTACAGGTGCTTGCCACCACGCCCAGCTAATTTTTTGTATTTTTAGTAGAGATGGGATTTCACTGTGTTAGCCAGAATGGTCTCGATCTCCTGACCTCGATCCACCCAACTCGGCCTCCCAAAGTGCTGGGATTACAGTCGTGAGTCACCGCCCCCGGCCTAAGTTTTGTATTTTTAGTAGAGATGGGTTTCACCATGTTGGCCAGGCTGGTCTCGAACTCCTGACCTCAATTGATCCACCTGCCTCAGCCTCCCAGAGCGCTGAGATTACAGGCACAAGCCACCGCACCCGGCCAAGAGAGGTAGAGCATGTCAAGCAGAGGGCACAGAAGTATGTACAAAGGCAGAAGAAAGTGTGGGGCACTTGGGCTGTGCATGGTTCAGAGCAGGAGGTAGTCAGAGGTCAGAACCTGGCAGGGTTAGCGTGCCTGTGTGAGAACTTCAGTTCTGCTACTTCATCCGCCTGTGGCCTTGGGGAGTAGCCCCACCTCCACGGTGGAGTGGATGCGCATGGTGCCTACCTCATGGGTGAACAGGAGGCCGTTTAGCAGCAGTAGCTTGAATTGCAGCAGCCAAGTCCTGTTCCAGCACTTTACTTATAGGAGGATCTCCACGGCAAAGGTTTATTCCAAGGAGCCTGGCAGGCACAAGGGCTTCAGGAAACAGGTTCTCACTGTGAAGATGTTTGCTGACTCATGGCAGTGTGAGGTGGGGAATAGAAGCAGGAGAGTGGGGAGAACTGATGGACAGGTAAAAGGAGGCAAACCTCAGGAAGGGCTGAGCCCTGGGGCGTTTCCCTCTTTCCTGCAGCCCCTCCTGTGTCAAGTCCTCACTGCCTACCAGGACCTGTGCTTTGTAGGATCTCATAGCCTCCTAAGATCCCTGTGAGTTGATGTTTAGGAGTCTTGTTTTATAGAAGAGCAAACTGAGGTTCAGAGACCATGCTCAGGGCTTGGCACCCTTGGTAGGGAGCAGCAGAGCCAGGCATTGAAATGAGTGTATCTGCTGTCTTCCCCTAGACTCTATTGGCCCCTGATTTTATATAGGTATTCCTCCTCCCCACCCAATCTCCTTCCAGGTCCAGGAACTGATCATCAACAAAGACCCCACACTACTGGATAACTTTCTGGACGTGAGTGACTGTTAGAAAAGAAACGGGTATTATAGTACAGGGGAAAGGGGATGGATTCTGGTGTAGCCCTGATCCACCTTGTCTCTGACATTGGCAGGAGATCATCGCATTCCAAGCAGACAAGTCAATCGAAGTGCGAAAATTTGTCATTGGCTTCATCGAGGAGGCATGGTATGGGACGAGGCAGGGAGCCCCGGGAGCATGCTTACTGGAGGCAGCCTTCAGCTCCTGGCCTGACCTGGAGACCACCACTGAGAGTCCTGTCCTCCTCTTCCCAGACCCTTTCTCTCTTTAATGCACACTGATTCCCCAGCAAATACTTAAGATTGAAACCCTGCGGTCATCTGTGATTCCTCTACTTCTTCCACACTTCACATCTATGTCATCACTAAGGACTGTGGGCTCTGCTCTGAGAATATGTGCAGCATCTAACCGTTTGTCAGTCATTTCCTGTGCCACTACGCAGGTCCAAGTCCCCTTCCCTCCTGCCTGATGACTTCAGTGGGCTCTCTCTGGCTCCCGTGCTTCTTCTTTTTAGTTAAATTGAAATTCATATAACAAAATTAGCTATTTTGTAATCTTTTTTTCTTTTCGTTTTTGAAACTGAGTCTTGCTCTGTCATCCAGGCTGGAGTGTAGTGGCACAATCTTGGCTCATTGCCATGTCTACCTCCCAGGCTAAGAGATTTTTGTGCCTCGGCCTCCTGAGTAGCTGGGGTTACAGGCGCACGCCACCATGCCCTGTGCTGTGTTAGGTCCTTTCCTGTGTTATCCCCCGTAATCTTTACGGCAGCCTCGGCGGATACTGTGGTTATCCTCTTTTTACAGAAGGGGAAACAGGCTCAGAATGTTAAGGGACTTGTTCGAGCTGGCTCCCTCACTCCTTGGTTCATTAAACATTGACTGGATGTCCTCTGGCTGGGAAGAAGTGGAATAGCTGCTATGCAGTAAATACTCGTGTCTGTAAGGCACTGCACTAAAGGCTTGCGGAGCTTCGTTATTCAGTCCTCAGCATAATACTGTGGGTCAGTTGTTTGACCCTTTAACTGAAGAGAAAACGGGCTCAGAGAGCTGAAGTGAATTTCCTTAAGGTCATGCAGCCAGAATGTGGCAAAGCTGGGATTTTACTTATTTTTTATTTTTTTGGGTGGAGTCTTACCCTGTCATCCAGAGTGTAGTGGCACAATCTTGGCTCATTGCAACCGTCCGCCTTCCAGGCTAAGAGATTTTTGTGCCTCAGCCCCTGGAGGAGCTGGTATTACGGGCACCTGACACCACAGTCAGCTCTTTTGTTTGTTGTTGTTGTTTTGAGATAGAGTTTCACTCTTGTTGCCCAGGTTGGGGTGCAATGGCACGATTGCTGCCCACTGCCATCTCCCCTTCCCAGGTTCAAGCAATTCTCCTGCCTCAGCCTCCCAAGTAGCTGGGATTACAGGCACCCACCATCACGCCCTGCTAATTTTGTATTTTTAGTAGAGATGGGTGTTTCACCATGTTGGCCGGGATGGTCTCAAACTCCTGACCTCAGGTGATCCACCTGGCTCGGGCTCCCAGAGTGCTGAGATTACAGACATGAGCCACCATACCCGGCCAAGGCTGGAATTTTAACTCATGTCTGCAATGAATGCCAGAGCCCAAATATCCTGTCTCCCCATTTACTGGCAGAATTTGTGGTAAATTTTCTAAATTTGTAAGAAGTCTGTTCAACAAATATATGCCACGTGGCTGCTGTTGTTTCAGGCATTCATGTTAGGCTGTAGTACAGCAGTGAGGAAAACTCACTGTTATTCCTGCCTTCATGTAGCTGACAGCTAAGTTTCATATTTTTGACCGATTTAATTAATTTTTCGGATTTTAATGTATGCTCTGAATTCCGTGCTGAGCTCTTATTTATTCATTGAACAGATATTTATTGGAGGCCCTTCATTTTTTTCAATGAAAGTGACCCTCCTGGGGTTGTTGCTAAGCTAGGAAAGGGTCTCCACTTTTTGAGCCCTCAGACTGAGGCAAGCAAAACTAGTAATTACATAAAACAAAGTGCTTTCAGGTACTGATGGCTGGTATTTGCTGAGTGATTTCTGTATGTCAGTCAGGCACTCTTCTGAGCACTTTATATGTATTGTTGCAATTTTCCCAAAAAAAATTTCATAAACAATTGAGATAGATATTCTTCTTGTAAATGAGGTGAAGTCGATTGCCCAAGTTCACACAGTTGTCTGGCCCTACTGTCCCTTATGTGAACAGCGGGCCCCTGAGAGAGCAAAGGAGTTGGGGTTGCAGGACCACTCTAGATTCAGGGGCGGCTCATTCTGGAGGCACCAAACACCGTTCCCAGCTTCTAGATGTGTCGTTCCAGTCCTCTGAAACAGGCCCCTGATTTGCCTTTCCTCCTGAACCTCAGGCTCCTCTCACCTGCCCCTTTTTTTCTTCATCCCTCAGTAAGCGAGACATTGAGTTACTGCTGAAACTCATTGCAAACCTCAACATGCTCTTGAGGGACGAGAATGTGAATGTGGTGAAGAAGGCCATCCTTACCATGACCCAGCTCTACAAGGTGGCCCTGCAGGTGAGAGCCCCCTCCCCACCCAGGGCCATCCTGCCTGATAGGTCTCATTGACAAACGGATATGTTGGGGTTCAAAACCAGCATCCAATCAGATTCTGTGAGCAAGATGTGCTGTTGATCTGTGGGAACAGACAACATGGAGCTCTAATGTCACTTGGGTCAGGAATTTGCACTTAAATATCATTCCTTCCATTGATCCAGCCATTTATTCACTCAACAAACGTTCCCTGAGCATGTTCTCTGTGCTCAGCCCTGGGCTAGGTGATGCTGGAGACATAGCGGTGACAAAGACAGCTTAGGACCTTCACAGTGCTTGTAACCCAAGGAGGGAGGCAGACCTTAATTAATGAATCACATAAATGTTGATTATGGACTGTGAGCGGAAGCAAACACTGTGCTGTGGTGTACATTAGCATTAATAAAATGAGTGAATCCGTTTTATCACCACCATCTTGTAAACTCAGCATCGTCACTCCTTTACGTTAAGACTTGAGCCTTCATCACCCTGAGTGGTTGCTGTCTGCATCCCCATGTGGGCAGGGCAAGGCCTGGCCACTACTGTGTCCCGTCTCCAGCATCACTCAGCACTGGGCTAGGGCAGAGCTGGAACTCAGGAACTGTTCTCCATGGTTCTCTGGGTATTGGTAGAGGGTGGTGGTGATTGATGCATTGTCTTCACCTCTTTGTCTCTTCTCTTCCTTCCGGGTCTGTTGGCAGTGGATGGTGAAGTCACGGGTCATTAGCGAGCTGCAGGAGGCCTGCTGGGACATGGTATCTGCCATGGCAGGGGACATCATCCTACTGTTGGACTCTGACAATGATGGCATCCGCACCCACGCCATCAAGTTTGTGGAGGGCCTCATTGTCACCCTGTCACCCCGAATGGCTGACTCGGAGATACCCCGACGCCAGGAGCATGATATCAGCCTGGACCGCATCCCTCGGGACCACCCCTACATCCAGTACAGTGAGTGCTGCCTTCAGCTGGTGCCCTTGATAGCCCTGCACCAGCTTCCTCTCCTTCACTCCTTTCCCGCTCCCCCTTATCTTTCTTGGTTTTACATTTCTGAAACTGTGTGCAGAAGTAAAGAGCCCTGATGCTGTGTTCAGATCAGAACTGCCCTGATTGCTCATCATGAACTTGGGCAAGTTACCTGTCTCTGTACTTCATTTTCTTTTTTGGAAACTGGAGACAATAACATAGTACTACTTTCACAGGTTTGTAGTGAAGTTTTATGAGTGTGAGCTAATCAATGCTAGCCAGTTTTACGATTTTCTTAACAGTAAATTATAAAAGTAGTACATAGGCCAGGTGTGGTGGCTCATGCACGTAGTCCTAGCGTTTTGAGAGGCTGAGGCAGGCCGATCATTTGTGGTCAGGAGTTCGAGACCAGCATGGCCAACATCGTGAAACGCCTTCTCTACTAAATAGACAAAAATTAGCCAGGCCTGGTGGCAGCCACCTGTAATTCCAGCTACTTGGGAGGCTGAGGCACGGGAATCGCTTGAACCAGGTTGCAGTGAGCCAAGATTGTGCCAGTGTACTCCAGCCTGGGTGACAGAATAAGCCTCTATCTCAAAAAATAATAATAGTGGTAGTATATATACACTCAGTGTCAAGCAATATGGGTTAGTATAGAGGAATAATACCCTCTCCCTCAGTCCTGCTTCCCAGAGATAAACACTGTTAAGAATATATTTCCTTCCAGATCTTTCCCGTGCAAGTGTAGATATTTGTATGTGTATATGCATAGTGTCTGCATCTGTTTGCTTTTCTGTTTGCAAAAACAAGGCCATGTTTGTGTTTTCATCTGGGAGACATTAGAGTATGGTGGCTTGTGTCTGAATCTCAGCTCCACCATTGGATGTAGCCTATTGTCTCTGAGCCTGAGTCCTCATCGGTAGATTGGGGATCGTTACTATGGCATCTAATTTAGGATGTAAGTATGAGCATTTGGTGAATTAATATGGCTGGAATAGTAAACATTCCACAAATATTAGCTATTCTTAATGTATTATTTGACAACCTTTATGACTTAATAGTATCAGTGACGTCTTTCCCTGTGAGAGTCATGTTCAGTTGCTACACAATATTCCATAGTATAGTTACATTACATTCTATTAAGTAATAATGCTCTGTTGATGGCCATTTAGGTTTTTAAGCACTATTTCAAATAATGCGGCATTCACATCAAAACTACAATGAGATACTGTCTCACCCCAGTTGAAGTGACTTTTATCAAAAAGACAGGCAATAACAAATGCTGGTGAGGATGTGGATGAGGGAAAACCCTTGTACGCTGTTGATGGGGACGTCAGTTACCGAAGCCTAAAAATTGTTTGGAGTTTGGAGGTTCCTCAAAAAATTAAAAGTGGAGCTACCATGTGATCCAGCACTCCCACTGCTGGAGAAAGGAAATCAATGTATCAGAAAGATAGCTGCACTCCATGTTCATTACAGCATTAGTCACAATAGCCAAGACTTGAGAGCAAACTAAATGTTCATCAGCAGATGAATAGATAAAGAAAATGTGGTACTTATACACAATTGAGTACTATTCAGCCATAAAAAAGAATGAGATCCTTGGCCAGGCGCGGTGGCTCACGCCTGTAATCCCAGCACTTTGGGAGGCCGAGGTGGGTGGATCACGAGGTCAGGAGATCGAGACCATCCTGGTCAACATGGTGAAACCCCGTCTCTACTAAAAAAATACAAAAAAAAAAATTAGCTGGGCATGGTGGCACATGCCTGTAATCCCAGCTACTCAGGAGGCTGAGGCAGGAGAATTGCCTGAACCCAGGAGGCGGAGGTTGCCGTGAGCCGAGATCGCGCCATTGCACTCCAGCCTGGGTAACAAGAGCGAAACTCCGTCTCAAAAAAAAAAAAAAAGAAAAAGAATGAGATCCTGTCATTTTCAACAACATGGATGGAAGTAGGAGTCATTAAGTGAAATAAGCCAGGCATGGAAAGACAGCTTTGCATGTTCTTATTTATTTGTGAGAGCTAGAAATGAAAACAGTTGAATTCATGAAGACAGTAGAATGATGGTTACCAGAGGCTGAACGGGGTAATGGGCAGTTGGGGGAGGAAGTGGGGATGGTTAATGGCTACAAACAAATAGTTAGAACAATAAGATCTAGTATTTGATAGCCAGGCATGGTGGCATGCGCCTGCGGTCTCAGCAACTCAGGAGGCTGAGTTGAGAGGAATACCTCAGCCTGGGTGGCAGAGGTTGCAGTGAGCCAAGATCTGCAGATCTGACAGAGTCAGACCCTGATCTCAGAAAAAAAAAAAGATCTAGCATTTAATAGCACAACAGGGTAACTATACTCAGAAATAATTATACATTTTTAAATAATTGAAATAGTGTATTGGAGACCCCATTTACCCTGATGTGACAGTTATGCATTGCATGCCTGTATCAAAGTCTCATGTATCACTTGATTATTTACACCTACTAATTACCCATTAAAATTTTTTAAATTAAAAATATATGGCATTCATTATGTTTCTTTATAGGAAAAGTCTGGAAAGATATCCACTACAGTTTTAAGCATTCACTTTTGGGGACTGTATTGAGAGGAGTGGTGTGACAAGGGACTTTGAGTTGTGTGTATATACACATATATTCTAGGCTTTCACTATTGCAAGCCAATGCTTTCAATGTCCTTATAACTAAAAAAAAATTTTTTTTTTTTAAATTACAGAGTCTCACTCTGTTGCCTAAGCTGGAGTACAGTGGCATGATCTCGGTTCACTGAAACCTCTGCCTCTTGGGTTCAAGCAATCCTCCTGCCACAACCTCCCAAGTAGCTGGGATTATAGGCATGTGCCTCCACGCCTGGGCTAATTTTTTGTATTTTTGGTAGAGACAGGGTTTTACTATGTTGGCCAGACTGGTCTTAAACTCCTGACCTCAAGTGATCCGCCTGCCTTGACCTCCCAAAATGCTGAGATTACGGGCACGAGCCACTGCACCCAGCCCCTTATAACTAAATTTTTATACTCATTAATAGTCTCATAGAACTAATCAACCACTACGTTTTCTGTTTTTCCCACCATTCACAGACATCTAGGTGCCAGGATCTGCCCTTCCTTTTAATCCCAAAAGCTGCTGTCTCCAGAGGCCTGGGAGAAAGGATCCCACTGACTGGTTCTCCTCTCTGTCTCTTAGATGTGCTGTGGGAAGAGGGGAAGGCAGCCTTGGAGCAGCTGCTTAAGTTCATGGTGCACCCTGCCATCTCCTCCATCAACCTGACCACAGCTCTGGGCTCCCTTGCCAATATCGCCCGCCAGAGACCCATGTTCATGTCTGAGGTGATCCAGGCCTATGAAACTCTGCATGGTAGGTCAATGCCCTCCCTGTGTCTTCTTCACTGGCCAGTCTGTTCTTTCTTTCTTTCTTTTTTTTGAGATGGAGTCTTGCTCTGTCGTCAGGCTAGAGTGCAGTGACGAAATCTTGGCTCACTGCAACTTCTGCCTCCGGGTTCAAGCAATTCTCCTGCCTCAGCCTCCCAAGTAGCTGGGCCTACAGGCACGTGCCACCACACCCAGCTAATTTTGTTTTTAGTAGAGACGGGGTTTCACCATGTTGGCCAGGATGGTCTCGATCTGTTGACCTCATGATCTGCCCACCTCAGCCTCCCAAAGTGCTGCGATTACAGGTGTGAGCCACCGCATCCAGCTTCAGTCTGCTCTTTCTTAAAGAAATGTGAGGTTGGTGGTGGACCCCAAGTGCTAGTTATCCATCTGGCAGGCCGGAGATTGTCCAGATTAGACAGGAATCTTTTGCATGTGACAGAAACCTGGTTCAGGACTGGCTTTAATATTGAGGTATGTGGGGGGTGAAATGATATAATGTCTGTGAAATAGTTTCACATATTTCAGTCCTCACACCCCTCACCAAAAGGGAGGCTAGATGTTCCAAGATCAGCAAAATGTTCATCGGTACACAGTGACTAATGTTATTTTCTCTGTTTTGTGCACAAATGAAAACCGAGAAGTCCAGGGTTGGGGCATCAGTGCGTACAGGTCATGTTGGATCTGCGTCTCTCCATCTCTTGGCTCTTTGTTTCTCCATTTTGGTTTCACTCTCTGGCCCTTTCATTGGAGTAGCAGGCTCCCATTCCGTTCACTTAGCAACACCGTGGGAAAGAGAGTGTCTCCTTCCCAACCATTCCAGCACAAGTCCAAGGGCTGATGGTCATTGTTTCTGATTGGCTGAGCAGAGATTATGAATCAATCTCTGAGCCAATTACAGTGGCCAAGGGAATGTCGTGTTCTCACAGGCCCCAGGTTTCATGCCCACTCTGAGAAAGGAGAAGGGGGGTTTCTTTGGAGAAGGGGGATTTCCCTCACCAGGGAATGAGAAACTTGGCTGAGGAGCGGGTAGTGGATGCTAGGCAGGCAGAATTACAGGAATCCTTTTTCACTGTAGAACAGGGGACACTCACTTATCAAGGTGACAATTAAAAAGTCATTCCAGTGGCAGGGAGACCAGCAGGGAGCTGTTGCAGCAGTTCAGTTGGGAGTTTCTGGAGGTGAAAGTGGTGATTATAACCTTCCCCAAGTGAAGCATACGTGAATTGCCAGATCAGAGATGGAGGGAGATGAGACTATATATGTTTAATAAAAGAGAGGGTGAGTTTTTCTCTTTGTTTTAAGGTTAACTGATACTGATGGAGACCTCCAGGGTTTTAAGCACCAACTTGTAAGGTGGAAAGCTACACATTAGATCTGAGGGTGAAGGAACTTTTCTAGTAGATGCCTGCAAGACCACTGCCCAAGTTTGGGGTTGGGAATTAAGATTGGCAGCATGCCATGAGATCTGCCCACAAGACAGAGCTCCTGCCTCTTTCCTCACAGCCAACCTGCCCCCAACGCTGGCCAAATCGCAGGTGAGCAGTGTGCGTAAGAATCTGAAGCTGCACCTGTTGAGTGTGCTGAAGCACCCAGCCTCCTTGGAGTTCCAGGCCCAGATCACCACTCTGCTAGTGGACCTGGGGACACCCCAGGCCGAGATTGCCCGCAATATGCCCAGCAGCAAGGATACCCGCAAGCGGCCCCGAGATGACTCGGACTCCACGCTCAAGAAGATGAAGCTGGGTGAGAGGGGCTGGCGCGGCAGGGGCACGAAGGCCGTGCTGAAATGTTTCATTATTTACCTTAAACTATTGCTGAATTTGTATTTATTGAGATTATATTATAGATTATATTATGTGGGCCAGTCACAGTGGTTCACACCTGTAATCCCAGCACTTTGGGAGGCCGAGGTGGGTGGATCATTTGAGGCCAGAGTTCAAGACCAGCTTAGGAACATGGTAAAACCCCATCTCTAATATGAAAAAATTATAAAATAATTATAAAAATGAAAGTATATGATATAAATGATTACAACAGAATTATTAAAATATATAATACATTTAATAAAGTATGAATTATTTAAATTTTACAGAGAGGAATAAAATGAAAATTTTCTCTCTCTTATCCCCTCCCAAGAAGTCACCACTCCCCAGGTGTGAACACTTCCTTGTTTTCTTCCAAACGTGCTTTATGTAGAGTGTAGAGCTCTTCTTTCATTTCTTTGTTTTATTTATAAGAGAATTTCTTTTCTGAAGTAATTTTCTAGTGGTCATATTATTTATCAATAGTGTCAACTATGGCAGACTTTCTTCAAGTTTTTTTTTTAAATCACACTTTTTTTTAGAGCATTTACAAAAGATTTATTTTTTTGTTTTAAAAAATAAGGAATTGCCAGTCCCAGTGGTTCACGCCTGTAATCTCAGCACTTTGAGAGGCCAAGGCAGGTGGATCACCTAAGGTCAGAAGTTCAAGACTAGCCTGGCTAACATGGTGAAACCCCATGTCTACTAAAACCACAAAAATTAGCCAGGCGTGGTAGCGCATGCCTGTAGTCCCAGCTACTAGGGAGGCTGAGGCAGGAGAACTGCTTGAACCAGGAGGTGGAGGTTGCAATGAGCCAAGATTGTGCTACTGCGCTCCAGCCTGGGTAACAGAGTGAGATTCTGTCTCAAAAAATTTAAAAAAGGAATTTATTTAAGGAGTGAGGTAGGGATCTTACTATATTTTTTCATAATTAAATATACTAAGCAAAGTATTCTGTATGTTGAGTTGTTTTCATTTGGTTTCATTTACTTTCATCTTGGAGTTCTTTCTATATCTGCAAGTAGAAATCTACTTACTTTTTTTGAGACAGTCTTGCTCTGTTGCCCAGGCTGGAGCGCAGTGGGGCTATCTCGGCTCACTGCAACTTCCTCCTCCTGGTTCAAGCAATTCTTGTGCCTCCGTCTCCTGAGTAGATGGAATTAGATGGGTGCCACCACGCCCAGCTAATTTTTGTATTTTTAGTAGAGTGGGTTTCACCATGTTGGCCAGGCTAGTCTGAAACTCCTGACTTCAAGTGATCCATCCGCCTCAGCCCCCAAAGTGCTGAGATTATAGCTGAGAGCCACTGCACCCCACTGCTTCATCCTTTTTAATGCTGGCCTAACAGTTTGTGGTGCACTTGGATGCCAGTCTCCCTGTTGATGGACATTTAATCTGTGTTCATTTAAAAATATTTTTTAATTTATTTTTTGTTTCAGAATGATCCTCTCATTCTGTCCTTTTCTCTTTTTCTTTTTCTTCTTTAAGACAGAGTCTCACTCTGTCACCCAGGCTGGAATACAGTGGTGTAATCTGGCTCACTGCAACCTCTGCCTCCAAGGTCAAGCAATTCTCATGCCTCAGCCTCCTGAGTAACCGGGATAAACAGGCATGTGTCACCACACCTGTCTAATTTTTGACCCTTTTTTTTTTTGAGATGGAGTTTCACTCTTGTTGCTCAGGCCAGAGTGCAATGGCCCAGTTTTGGCCACTACAACTTCTGCCTCCCAGGTTTAAGCAGTTCTCCTGCCTCAGCCTCCCAAGTAGCTGGGATTACAGGCATGTACCACCATGCCCAGCTGATTTTTTTTTTTTTTTTTTGAGACGGAGTTTTGCTCTTGTTACCCAGGCTGGAGTGCAATGGTGCGATCTCGGCTCACCACAACCTCCACCTCCTGGGTTCAGGCAATTCTCCTGCCTCAGCCTCCTGAGTAGTTGGGATTACAGGCACGCGCCACCATGCCCAGCTAATTTTTTGTATTTTTAGTAGAGACGGGGTTTCACCATATTGACCGGGATGGTCTCGATCTTTTGACCTTGTGATCCACCCGCCTCAGCCTCCCAAAGTGCTGGGATTACAGGCTTGAGCCACTGTGCCCGGCCTCTGATATTGTATTTTTAGTAGAGACAGGGTTTCACCATGTTGGCCAGGCTGGCTTCGAACCCCTGGCCTCAGGTGATCCACCCACCTCGGCCTCCCAAAGTGCTGGGATTATAGGTGTGAGCTACCATGCCCCACCTAATTTTTGTATTTTTAATAGAGTTGGGTCTTGCCATGTTGGCCAGGCTAGTCTCGAACTCCTGGCCTCAAGTGATCCCCCCACCTCGGCCTCCAACAAAAGTGTTAGGATTACAGGCATGAGCCACAACGCCCAGCCCATTTTTTTTTTTAAGTGTAAGGATTGCTATATTATAACAGTCTTGTGTGTATACCTAATCATGGGACAAATTCTTAGTGGTGGGATTGCTGGGGCAAAGGATGTGTGTGTGTGTGTGTGTGTGTGTGTGTGACGGAGTCTCGTTCTGTCAGCCAGCTGGAGTGCAGTGGCATAATCTTGGCTCACTGCGACCTCTGCCTCCTAGGTTCAAGCAATTCTCCTGCCTCAGCCTCCCAAGTAGCTGGGATTACGGTATCTGCCCCCACGCCCAGCTAATTTACTGTATTTTTAGTAAAGATGGGGTTTTATCATGTTGGCCAGGCTGGTTTCAAACTCCTGACCTCACGTGATCTGTCTGCCTCAGCCTCCCAAAGTGCTGAGATTACAGGCATGAGCCACTATATCCAGCCAGAGTTTGTGTATTTAAAGTTATATTTTACCCACCAACTTTATCTTTTTGTTTTCTTAAGCTTTTTATTTTGAAATAATTTTGAATTTTCAGACAAGTTATAAAAACAGTGCTAAAAGCTGTGTACTCTTATGAGGCATGGATCACACGTTGCGTTTAGTTGGCATGTCCCGTTTGTCTCCTGAATCAGTTCCTCAGCCTTCCATTGTGTCTCATGACATTGACATTGTGAAGAGTCCAGGACAGTTGTTGGGTAGAATGCCTTCCTTCCATTTGCGTTTGTCTGCTCTTGCCTCATGATTGGAGTCAGGTTAGGCACTTTTGGCAGGAATGCTGCAGAAGTGATCTCCTGGTTACCTGAGTACATGGGATCAGGAGGCACATGATGTCTGTCCCATTGTTGCGATGTTAACTTTGAACTCTTGGTTAAGGCGGTATCGACCAGGTTTCTCTAGTGTCAAGTGCCATTTTTCTCTTTGTCAATAATAAGCTGGGAGGGATATTTGAAACTATGTAAAACACATGTTTCTCAGCCGGGCACAGTGGCCCATGCCTGTAATCCCAGCACTTTGGGAGGCCAAGGCAGGGGGATCACAAGGTCAGGAATTTGAGACCAGCTTGACCAGCATGGTGAAACCCCATCTCTACTAAAAATACAAAAATTAGCTGGGCATGGTGGCACGTGCCTGTAATCCCAGCTACTCAGGGGGCTGAGATAGGAGAATCTCTTGAACCCAAGGCAAATGTTGCTGTGTGCCAACATCACGCCACTGCACTCCAGGCTGGATGACAGAGCGAGACTCTGTCTCAAATAATAATAATAAAAGCAATATCTTCTTACAGCTTAGCGTGATAAGCTGCAGTGCTGTGGCTTATTCCCATTTCCTAGATTAGGAGAACAGAGAAGCAGAATGAGTCAGGTAGTTGGCCAGGGTCATATGGTACGTTGGCACCAGAGACAGGGCTACAGACTAGATCTTCATCTGCTGTTTGCTCCTGTTTGCTGAGGCTGACCAGAGGCACGCGCCACCTGGGCACCCTGGGAGGATGGAGGGCCCGCTGCTCTCTCTATAGCCAGCATCTTGTTATTTTTGCTTACCCCAGAGCCCAACCTGGGGGAGGATGATGAGGACAAGGACTTGGAGCCAGGCCCATCAGGGACCTCGAAGGCCTCAGCCCAGATCTCCGGCCAGTCAGACACAGACATCACAGCTGAGTTCCTGCAGCCACTGCTGACACCTGATAACGTGGCCAATCTGGTGAGGATGGGTGAGGAGTGTTTTCTCCCTGGGCGGGAAGGAAGGATCTCCTCAGTCTTTCTCCTGCCTCCACTGTCCACCTCCTCCAGAGTTCCCTCCTAATTTATAAAGCAAAGGGGTTTAATTGGCTCACAGTTCTACAGGCTATACAGGAAGTGTGGTGCTGGCATCTGCTCAGCTTCTGGAGAAACCTCAGGAAGCCTCCAATCGTAGTGAAAAATGAAGAGGGAGCAGGCATCTCATGTGGCAGAGCAGGAGCAAGAGAGAGGGAGAGTTGAGGGGCAGGGCGGTGCCACACACTTTTACATGACCAGATCTTGCAAGAACTCACCATCCCAAAGACAGCACCAAGCCATGAGGGATTCCACCCCCACGATCCAAACACCCCCCAACCAGGCCCCATCTCCAGCATCAGGGATTGTAATTCAACATGAGATTTGGGCAGTAACAGATATCCAAACTACATCGGTGAGCCTCACACCTGGATATGCGCTTCTGATCATCCTCCATTTGGATGTCCCAGGAGCATCTCAGACTCACCATTGCAGAACTACACTTTTCCGTTTTCTCCCCATGATCCTCTACAGGCCCCTTCCACTTCCCAAACCAAACATCTGGGAATGAACCTCTTTCCCGTCTCTACCCAATCCTTGCCCTCTTTTCCACCCTTGCACTGGGCCAGGCCCACTCTTTTCATCTGAAGCCCAACCCTCCCTTGCTACCTGGCTCAAACTTCCTTCAAGTAAAATTTAAGTTCCATTTGCCTTAGTCGGCCATCTTTGATCTGGCTTTTGTCTTTTTTTTTTTTTGGGATGGAGTCTCACTCTGTCATCCAGGCTAGAGTGCAGTGGTGCAATTTCAGCTCACTGCAACCTCCGCCTCCTGGCTTCAAGCAATTCTCCTGCCTCAGCCTCCCGTGTACCTGGGATTATAGGCACCCACCATGGTGCCGAACTAATTTTTATATTTTTAGTACAGATGGGGTTTTGCCATGTTGGCCAGACTGGTCTTGACCTCCTGACCTTACCTCAGGTGATCCGTCCACCTGGGCCTCCCAAAGTGTTGGGATTACAGGCGTGAGCCACTATTGGCCATTCTACCTTTTGTCTTATCACCGCTAGGAAATTGACCTTTTCAGTTTTGCCATGACGTTTGCTCATCGGCATGTATAAAAATACCTGCTGTCCATAGTATAAATACGGTATGTCTGTAGTATGAATACGGTATGTCTGTAATGTGCTTCTTCTCTGTTGGTACCACTGTGTCCAATCTTGCAAAATACTTGCTTGTTTTCAGTCATCTCAAAGACCACCTCTGTTTTGTTCATAGTCTTTTGGCACTTTTTCTGTTTTATTCTGTTGCCTTTATTTCTTTCCTGCTACTTTCTTTGAATGCTTTTCCCCATGGTTTTAAATGATTGGCTCATTAATTTTTAGTCATCTTTTCCAGTGTAAGCAAGCATTTAAGGATTTGATTTTTCCATCTAAGTATATTTTAGCTGCATTCCACACATTTAAAAGTACAGTAGTTTCATTATCTTTCTGTTCCAATTATTACTTAGATTGTGCATTTAAAGTTCTCTGTGTCACCTTGGCATCATAGTGAGACCCTGTCTCTACAAAAATAAAAATTAAAAAATTAGCCAAGCACTGTGGCGTGTGCCTATAATCTTAGCTACTGGAGAGGCTGAGGCAGAAGGACCCACTTGAGCCCAGGAATTCGAGGGTGTAACGAGCGGTGATGGTGCCACTGCACTCTAGCCTGGACAACAGAGTATAAGACCCTGTCTCTAAGAAAAAAAATAATAATTTTTTTTAAAGTTCCACATGTAGAGGGAGTTTGAAATGATCTTTTGTTACTAATTCCTGACATCCATGGATGTTCTTTGTTAGGCTAATGGGGTTTTTTTGTTTGCTTGTGTTTTTTTTTTTTTTTTTTTTTTTTAATTTTTTATTGGATTTTAGGTTTTGGGGTACATGAGCAGAGCATGCAAGACAGTTGCATAGGAACACACATGGCAGTGTGCTTTTCTTTCCTTCTCCCCTTCACCCACATTTGGCATTTCTCCCCAGGCTATCCCTCCCCACCTCCCCCTCCCACTGGCCCTCCCCTTTTCCCCCCAATAGACCCCAGTGTTTAGTACTCCCCTTTCTGTGTCCATGTGTTCTCATTTTTCATCACCCGCCTATGAGTGAGAATATGCGGTGTTTCATTTTCTGTTCTTGTGTCAGTTTGCTGAGGATGACGTTCTCCAGATTCATCCATGTCCCTATGTTTGCTTGTGTTTTAAAGTCAATTCCCAATCCTTACACTCGTCAGTGTACCTCTTTTTGCTCTTTGTTGTTTATATATATATTTATTTATTTTTAAGAGATGGAGTCTTTGCTCTGTCCCCCAGGCTGGAGTACAGTGGCATGATTTTGGATTTACCACAACCTCCGCCTCCAGGGTTCAAGTGATTCCCCTGCCTCAGCCTCCTGAGTAGCTGGACTAACAGGCATGTGCCACTGCACCCGGCTAATTTTTGTATTTTTTGTAGAGACAGGGTTTCACCATGTTGGCCAGGCTGGTCTTGGACTCCTGACCTCAAGTGATCCACCCGCCTTGGCCTCCCACAGTGTTGGGATTATAGGTGTGAACCTCCATGCCCAGCCTCTTGTTCTTTAGACAGGGTGCCTGCTCTGCTGCTGCTTAGCCTTTTCCCATGCTGTTCCTCTCTGTGGAATACACACCCCTCCCACTGCAAAACCTTGTCCTATATATTATGCTAACTCCTGCCCGCCCCTCAGTTCTCAGCCTCAGTGCCTCTTCCCTAGGGAGCCCTTGCCTTGCCTGGCTCCTGCTGTGGCTCATAGTACCCTTTACTTCCCTCTGTCAAGCACTACACGGTATCATTATTTGTTTTCTCTGTGACTTCCCCCAAGAGGCTGAGCTCCAGGAGAGTAGGCCGACTTCAGTCTTAGGCACTGCCATTTCCCCAGTATTGGCATGGGCATGGAAAGAAAACTTGCTGAGCTAGTGACTAAGGAGAGGCTGTCTTCTTGGGCATCCCACAGGTCCTCATCAGCATGGTGTACCTGCCAGAGGCCATGCCGGCCTCCTTCCAGGCCATCTACACCCCTGTGGAGTCAGCAGGCACAGAAGCCCAGATCAAGCACCTGGCTCGGCTCATGGCCACACAGATGACAGCTGCCGGTCTGGGACCAGGTGAGTGTGTCCTGGCCCTGACCTGGAGCAGGGGTAGGCACTTATGGCTTCTGGGATCTCTTTAATGGAAGAACACCTCCTTGTGCAGATGAAATTGTGTGGGAGCTAAGGTATAGCTAATGACAGCTCCCACACATAGATGGCTCAGGGTTTTTGAGTCCTGGGATTTGGAATCAAACAGGCCTGGGTTTGAGGTCTGAGTTGAATCAGCTCTCATCTACTTAATAGCTATATGACTTCGGTCAAGTTAGTTAACCTCTTTGAGCTTATTTTAACAGTTCTATTAACATATAATACACGTACATGAAATGCACAGCTCTTAACCATAGACCTTAGTGAATTTTCACAAAGTGAACACACTAGTGTAACCATCTCCCAGATCAAGATACAGGTTAAATATCCTTTATCCAAAATGCTTGGGACCAGAAGTGTTTCAGATTTCAGGCCTTGGATTTGGAATATGGGCATATACATAATGAAATATCTCAGGGATAGGACCCACGTCTAAACATGAAATTCATCTGTTTCTTATTCACATAGCCTCCAAAGTAATCGTAGATAATATTTCTTAATAATTTTGTGCATGAAACAAAATTTTGACTGCCATCTATCACATGAGGTCAGGTACGGAATTTTACACTTGTGTTTTATTGAGACTCAAAAAGCTTCGGATTTATAGACCATTGCCACTGTAGAAAGTTCCTCCTTTGGCTGGGCGCGGTGGCTCAAGCCTGTAATCCCAGCACTTTGGGAGGCTGAGGCGGGTGGATCACGAGGTCAAGAGATCGAGACCATCAACAAGGTGAAACCCCATCTCTACTAAAAATATAAAAATTAGCTGGCACGTACCTATAATCCCAGCTACTCAGAAGGCTGGGGTGGGAGAATTGCTTGAACCCAGGAGGCAGAGGTTTCGGTGAGCCGAGATCACGCCCATTGCACTCCAGCCTGGGTAACGAGCGAAACTGTTTAAAAAAAAAAAAATAACCAGTGTTCTGATTTCTGCCTCCATACGCTAGTTTTACCTATTCTTGAACTAAACTAAATAGGATCACAGGGTCAGGCTTCTCTGGCTTGCCATACGGGTTTTTTTTGTTTTGTTTTGTTTTTTTGAGACAGTCTTACGCTGTTGCCCAGGCTTGAGTGCAATGGCATGATCTCAGCTCACTGCAACCTCCACCTCCTGGGTTTAAGTGATTTTCCTACCTCCCAAGTAGCTGGGATTACAGGCACACAGCACCATGACTGATTTTATTTATTTATTTTTTTGGTACTGTCAGTAGAGACGGGTTTCACTATGTTGGCCAAGCTGAGTCCAACCTCAAAGTCCAGACCTCAGGTGATCCACTCTCCTCGGTCTCCCAAAGCACTGCAATTATAGGCGTGAGCCACTGCGCCTGGTCTGCTGTATGTTTTTGAGATTCTCTCATTTTGTCATGTGAGGTGGTAGTTGGTTTTTTATTGCTCAGTAGTGTTCCATTATATGAATATACAGTCTTTTGTTTACACCCCTATTGATGGGTCTGTGGTTTCTTTCTAGTTTTTGGCCATTGGGAATAAAGCTGCTGTGAATATTTGTGTCCAAGTCTCTTCATGTACACATGCTGTCATCTATCTTGAGCATATACCAAGGAGTGGAACAGTTGGTCATAGGGTGTGATCAGTGCCATTAATAACTGCTGTGGGCTGGGTGTGGTAGCTCACACCTATAGTCCCAGCACTTTGGTAGGCTGAGACAGGTGGATCACCCGAAGTCAGGAGTTCGAGACCAGCCTGACCAATGTGGCGAAACCCTGTCTCTACTGAAAATACAAAAATTAGCTGGGCATGGTGGTGGGCAGCTGTAATCCCAGCTACTCAGGAAGCTGAGGCAGGAGAATGTCTTGGACCCAGGAGGTGGAGGCTGCAGTGAGTCAGGGTCATGCCATTTCACTCCAGCCTGGGCAGTGGAGCAAGACTCCATCTCCAAAAAAATAAAAATAAAACAGCTGAGGGCTAGGCACAGTGTCTCATACCTGTCATCCCAGCACTTTGGAAGGCTGAGGTGGGAGGATTGCTTGAGCCCAGGAGCCTGGGCAACATATGGAGCCCTCGTCGCCACAAAAAATACAAAAATTAGCCACATATGTTGGCATGCACCTGTAGTCCCAGCTAACTGGGAGGCTGAGCGGCTGAGGTGGGAGGATTGCTTGAGCCCAGGAGGTCGAGGCTGCAGTAAGCCATGATTGCACCACTGCACTCCAGCCTGGGCAACAGAGTGATGCCCAGTCTCAAAACAAAAACTGTTCATCATGTTTCCAAAGTGGCTGTACCAGTTGGTGCTCCCACCAGCAATGAATGGCATTTCTAGTTTTAGCCTCAGTTGTATTACAAAGTGGGGATAAAGAGAGTACCCAACTCAGAACAGAGCTGGGCGCACAGGAGGTCCTTGGGTCGGAGCAGGTGGGTCTGACGTGCCGGGTGTCCGTTTGCTGTCTCCCTCCCAGGTGTGGAGCAGACCAAACAGTGCAAGGAGGAGCCCAAGGAGGAGAAGGTGGTGAAGCCGGAGAGCGTCCTGATCAAGCGGCGCCTGTCAGCCCAGGGCCAAGCCATCTCAGTGGTAGGCTCCCTGAGCTCCATGTCCACTCTGGAGGAGGAGGCGCCCCAGGCCAAGAGGAGGCCAGAGCCCATTATCCCTGTCACTCAGCCCCGGTGAGTCCTCTTCTCGGTACTAGGGCAGGTCAGGAGACCTACCCTGAGGGTCTGGTTCTCAGCGTGTGTGTGTGTGTGTGTGTGTGTGTGTGTGTGTGTGTGTGTGTGTTTAAGTGTGAGGCAGACAGACAGAAGTGTGGACCAGGTTCTCTCTGACTCCCAAGTCAGTGCCGCCATAACCACATAACCACTAAGCCTTTGCTGTTTTCTTTCTTTCTTTCTTTCTTTCTTTCTTTCTTTCTTTCTTTCTTTCTTTCTTTCTTTCTTTCTTTCTTTCTTTCCTTTCTTTCCTTCCTTTCTTTCCTTTCTTTCTTTTCTTCTTTTCTTTCTTTCTCTTTTCTTTTCTTTTCTTTTCTTTCTTTTCTTTTCTTTTCTTTTCTTTTCTTTTCTTTTCTTTTCTTTCTTTTCTTTTCTTTCTTTTCTTTCTTTTCTTTTCTTTTCGCTCTTGTTACCCAGGCTGGAGTGCAATGGCGCGATCTTGGCTCACCGCAACCTCCACCTCCTGGGTTCAGGCAATTCTGCCTCAGCCTCCTGAGTAGCTGGGATCACAGGCATGCACCACCATGCCCAGCTAATTTTTTGTATTTTCAGTAGAGACGGGGTTTCACCTTGTTGACCAGGATGGTCTCGATCTCTTGACCTCGTGATCCACCTGCCTCGGCCTCCCAAAGTGCTGGGATTATAGGCGTGAGCCACCATGCCTGGCCTCTTTTTTTTTTTTTTGTTTTTGAGACACAGTCTTACACTGTTGCCCAGGCTGTAGTGCAATGGCGCAGTCTCAGCTCACTGCAATCTCCGCCTTCTGGGTTCAAGCAATTCTCCTGCCTCAGCCTCCCTAGTAGCTGGAACTACAGGCGTGTGCTACCACATCCAGCTAATTTTTTTGTATATTTAATACAGATGGGTTTCACTGTATTGGCCAGGGTGGTCTCCATCTCCTGACCTTGTGAACCGCCGGTCTCGGCCTCCCAAAGTGCTGGAATTACAGGCATGACCTACTGCGCCCAGCCTTTATTAATATATTTTTTTTTAGATGAAGTTTTGCTCTTGTTGCCCAGGCTGGAGTGCAATGGCACAATCTCGGCTCACCGCACCCTCCGCCTCCCAGGTTCATGAGATTTTCCTGCCTCAGCCTCCCAAATAGCTGGGATTACAGGCATGCTCCACCACACCTGGCTAATTTTATATTTTTAGTAGAGATGGGGTTTCTCCATGTTGGTCAGGCTGGTCTGGAACTCCTGACCTCAGGTGATCCACCTGCCTCAGCCTCCCAAAGTGCTGGGATTACTGGTGTGAGCCACTGCAGCCGGCTGCTGTTTTCTTTCCTGTAAAAAACACCCCCATTTGTATGTCTAAAATTGGGATAATGATAGTATCTTTCTCATAAGGATCAAAGAAGACTTAAATTAGTTCTGTGATGATGATGGTTAGATAACTAGATTAGATAACTTAAGTGAAAAGTGATTATGGGCAGGGCTCGGCGGCTCACGCCTGTAATCCCAACACTTTGGGAGGCTAAGGCAGGTGGAACACACAGTCAAGAGATCAAGATCATCGTGGCCAAGATGGGGAAACCCCATCGCTACTAAAAATAAAAAAATTAGCTGGGTGTGGTGGCAGACACCTGTAATCCCAGCTACTCGGGAAGCTGAGGCAGAGAATTGCTTCAACCCAGGAGGTGGAGGTTGCAGTGAGCCAAGATCACACCACTGCACTCCAGCCGAGGCAACAGAGTGAGACTCAGTCTCAAAAAAAAAGAAAAGAAAAGTGATTTTGACTGTCAAGCATTTTACATGGTTCCTGATATGTAGTAAGTGCTACCAGCTGTCACCATTCTTGTCCTATTATTATCTCCCTTACACACCACAAAATCCAGCCAGTCCCAGCCACCCAAGTCTTACTACCATGGCTGAGTAAGATCTGCTACCCTCGCCCCTCCAGTCATGCCCACAAGCAGGTTCCCACCTCAGGGCCTTTGCCTGGAGAGCTGGTCCCCCGGACATTTGTGTGTCTTGTTCCTGACTCCGTTCAGATCCCCACTCACAGAAGCCTTCCCTAAGACACCCTCTGCAAAACCAAAACAGCATCTTCTTCCTTCCTCTTACTCACTGCCCCACCGTGCCTCAGAGTTACAGCGAAGTTGGAGAGGCAGCAGGGGGCTTGGGCATCTCTCTGGCTTACCTAGACCTTGAAGTCAGGAGCGTCACCAGACAGGCCTGTGCTACAAGAAAGATGGCAATGAGTCACTGCGTCACTATCACTGCTCTTCCACGTAGGCTGGCAGGTGCTGGCGGGCGCAAGAAGATCTTCCGTCTCAGCGACGTGCTGAAGCCCCTGACCGATGCCCAGGTGGAGGCCATGAAGCTGGGCGCTGTAAAGAGGATCCTGCGGGCTGAGAAGGCTGTGGCCTGCAGTGGGGCAGCCCAGGTATGCCCCTGCTACCCCCCCAGCCCATCCTTTCAGTCCCTCTCTCCAAGCATTTGCCTCGCATCCAGGGAAGAGTCCGGCCCCAGCGTCAAACCTCCTTGGCTGTGGACCCCAGCTCTGCTGCTCACAGCTGCTTCTCCAGCTCACTCCCGCCCTCCATAAAACAGACAGTAGTGGCAGCTCCTGCTAGGTGACAAGTAAACGTGGAAATGCACACACGCGCTCGGGCGAACAAGGCGGGTGCTGGGGCCTCTGCAAGTGGTCTAGGTTCTTCCCAGCTGTTAATATTCTTACTGTTGCTAATTAGCTTTAGAAATATACCTGGTGACTTTTTTCCTACTCTATGAAGTTAATTTTTGATTAGCCAGTAGCACAGGAGCACTCTCTGTGCTGAAAAACATCTCCAGGCAATCCAGATCTAGTACTGTCTTCCGTGGCCATCACCTGCGCCCCATCCCCCTCTTCAAAGGTGACAAGGGCACAAATTGGGGGAATTTTTGTGGATCTTTTTCTGTGCACTTAAGTACATGGGTGCTGCTCCTAGAAACTCATTTTTATTCTGTGATGATCGATCCCCAGCCTGGCACCCCCACCCTCCACCACACAAACAGGACCTTCCTGGGCATAAGGGACCTCGCTGGCCTTCCTCACTTCACTCCATGTCCGCTCAGAGAGTTCCTGCACCTGGGCCGGGGGGTCACAGGGCAGGATTGCGGAGTCCCTGGATTGCCCACCCTACACTGATGTGCTGGCTCGCCCTCCCACCAGGTACGCATAAAGATCCTGGCCAGCCTGATAACACAGTTCAACTCGGGCCTCAAGGCGGAGGTCCTGTCCTTCATCTTGGAGGATGTCCGGGCCCGTCTGGACCTGGCCTTCGCCTGGCTGTACCAGGAGTACAATGCCTACCTGGCTGCAGGTGCCTCCGGCTCCCTGGACAAGTATGAGGACTGCCTCATCCGCCTGCTGTCCGGCCTGCAGGAGAAACCAGACCAGAAGGATGGGTAAGGGGGCTGGCCCTGCACCCTCCTATCCCCGAGAGGTCCCCTTTCCTGGTGCTGCCCTACCTTTCTGGTTCTGACCACCTCCCTCTTCTCACGCCTATCCCACTCCTCTCCTCTGCTCCCCTCTGGAGGGTTATTGCTTTGGGTGTGGGCTCCCGTTGTACTCCCTGAGCTCCCAGCTCTGCCGCTTGCTCTGAGTGGCTTTGTCACTCCCCCTCTGTGCCATTTTCCCATCTGTAAATAACAGTGCTCACCCACGGGCCTGGAGATGGACTTCTCTGCACCCCATTTCCTGCCTGAGTTGGTTCTGTAGCTTCCTCGCTATCCTTGGCCTCCAGCTTACTCATCTGTCCTCTGCACAGCAAGTCCAGGAACACTCTGTTACATAAATCCTTTTACTACTTCCCCATAGAGAACCTTTCATGGTTCTCCATTGCTCTTGGGATAAACACAGCCCCTCACTGTGACCCAGCCTCTTTGGCCTTCCCTGAACATTAGCCACATTGGCCTTTTGTCTGTTCCTTGAGCATGCCAGGGGCACTAGTGCTTCCTGTTCTGTCCACCTGAAAGGTTCTCCCCTCAGCTCTGCACAGTTGGCTCCTTCTCATCCACCAGTGTACTCAAATGTGACTTCAGAGTGGCCTTTGGAGGCCCCCACATCTAAAATCCCGCCATTCCCTCCGATTGTTATGTTCAATGAATACAGTTAAGAATTCCCATTTGGGCCGGGCACGGTGGCTCACGCCTGTAATCCCAGCACTTTGGGGGGCCGAGGCGGGTTGATCACGAGGTCAAGAGATCGAGACCTGGTCAACATGGTGAAACCCCGTCTCTACTAAAAATACAAAAAATTAGCTGGGCATGGTGGCGCGTGCCTATAATCCCAGCTATTCAGGAGGCTGAGGCAGGAGAATTGCTTGAACCCAGGAGGTGGAGGTTGCTGTGAGCCAAGATCGCGCCATTGCACTCCAGCCTGGGTAACAAGAGCGAAACTCTGTCTAAAAAAAAAAAAAAGCCCGTTTGATGAAAGGAAGAAATGAGGTTCAGAGAGGTACAGTTTTTGTCCAGATCATCCAGCCGGCAGCTTTTGAACGCTGGTCCATTCACCTCCAAAGCTTTATAAGGCCAGGGGCTTGAACAAGCAGCACCTGAGGGAGGGCCCCACTGGCTCTGAGCTCCCATAGTTAAGCAGGGCCAGGGAGCCAGGCGGCTTCTTCCTCTGCACCATGTCCTCCCCTCCGTCTCTGGCAGGATCTTCACCAAGGTTGTGCTGGAGGCACCGCTCATCACAGAGAGTGCCCTGGAGGTGATCCGCAAGTACTGCGAGGATGAGGTGAGGGCAGGCTTGGTCACTACTGCCTGGGGCCGGGGACAGGGCCCTGCTCTCAGGGGTCTGAAGGGCACGCAGCCTAAACCTTGTGGCAGGGAGTTTCAGGAGGCACCGGGCCCTTTTGTTCAGTACCTCATGAGAAGGATGCAGGAGAGACAGCCCAAAGGCACACTCAGGTGGGCTGAACTCGGGTCCCCTCCCTCTTGCTGCAGAGTCGCACCTATCTGGGCATGTCCACGCTTCGAGACCTGATTTTCAAGCGTCCATCCCGCCAGTTCCAGTACCTGCATGTCCTCCTCGACCTCAGCTCCCATGAGAAGGACAAGGTGATCCCCTCCTCCACTTCCTGGCTGCCCACAGCCTGCAGCTTGCAGAGGCTGCCACTGTCCTGAGGAACCATCCCAGCCTCATCCACAATCCCTTACAGTTTCTCTTGGCCCACTACCTTCTTGGATTGGTTGTTTTGGCTGTTGCCAGGTTTCTGTCTGTCTGGGTTTTTTCATTTGCAGTGGCATGAAACTGCCTAGAAAGCAGGGTCACTGTGCCTGAGTCTGCCTGCAGTGTGTATACACGCACATATGTACTTGCCTTCCCGGGAAGGGCATCCTACTCTCGCTCTTAAGCCACCTGTGGCAGCCAGCACCAGCTCTTGGTGCAGCCCAGTCCTGTGCTGGGGCCTGAGGGCATTGCCCAGTCAGGGAGCTGTTGTGGCCTCAGCCAGCAGTGAGGACACGGTGTGATCAGCAGCTGAGTAGAGCAGCGTGCAGCTGTGGAGCCCTGGGGAGAGACGGGCCGACCATCTGGTTGTGGGGTGGGCAGTGGAGATGTTTCAAGGAAGGCTTGTGGGAGGAAGGGATGTGTGCACGGAAACCTGGAAAATGAGTAGCTGGGTGTGCTCTAGACAGAGGGGACGAATGTGCACATACTGTAGTTGAGAGAGCACCCTTGACCCAGCCTTGTGCCACAGCCTTGCCCAGCGGTGTTCATTCATTCAACAGACCTTCAGCAAGCACCTCTGACTGCCCTGTGCCACTGCTGGGGTCAAAGCAGTGCCCAGGACCAGTCCCTGGCCTCACAGCTCCCAGCAGATGATACCTGAGTGAAGCGGGGTTTAGCTGGCAATAGATGTTCTAGAGAGACTTGGCAGGGAGCAGCACTTTTCAAGAACCGAGAAGACTTCCCTTGGCTTGGAGCTTAGGGAGCAGGGCAAGGAGCAGTGATGGGCAGATGGGCTGGTGAGGCAGGCAGTGAGGTGGTGTCGCGGGTCCGGCCCTGGCCAGGATATCTCCCTCCTGCGCTGGGGACTAGCCCTGGCCTTGGTAACAGCTGGGCTGCCCTTTCTCAGGCTTGGGCTTGTTTTCAGTGTTGCCGCACTCGGAGGAACAGCTGTTCTTCCTCTACCCTCCTCCCTGACCCCAGCCTTCTCCATCTTCCTCCTCAGGTGCGCTCCCAGGCCCTGCTGTTCATCAAACGCATGTATGAGAAGGAGCAGCTGCGGGAGTATGTGGAGAAATTTGCCCTCAACTACCTGCAGCTCCTGGTGCACCCTAACCCACCATCTGTGCTGTTTGGAGCTGACAAGGACACAGGTTGGGCTCAGGTCATCAGATGCATATTGAGCGCAGCTGTGTCCGGGCTCCACCCTGCGAGCAGAGGGGCTGAGTGGGGAAGCCACCTGGACAGCAGTGACAGGAATAGACAGGACTGGGACAGCCATCTAGGGGCTGTGGGAGTGAGGGTGGGGGGCACCTGACCCAGCTTGAGGGGTTAGGGAAAGAGACCTGGAGAACAAGGAGAGCCAGCCAGCTGTGAGACCTCAAGAAGGACCAGGCAGGGCAAGTTCCCTCAGCAAAGCCCTGGGTCCCCCAGAATTACAGACAGGTAGATGTAGGCCCGCAGTAAATGAACCATTAAACGGAAAGGTTGGGGGCCATAACAGGGCAGCACAGGAGGCCCAGCGTGGCCCAGGTGCCAGGAAGTATTCCCAGGAGAGGCACAGCCTTTGTGAGGCCCAGAGACTGGGCAGGTTTGGAGGAGCTGGGGTGCTGTGGACCAGGCAGAGGGGAGGGTGGACACAAAGGTGCAGAGACCAGGGCCCTTGAGACTGTTCAAAGGGGCATGTGACCAGCATGGAGGGCAGTTGTATGCTGCCCTCCATGCTAGTCACACACCCTCCTGAGGCCACCCCATATAGGCAGACAGTGGAAGGCAGGGAGCTGGAGGTTTATCCCAAGGCCACAAGGCAGGCATGGCTGGCTTGGAGCTGGAGAGGGACAGGGTCAGGATTGTACTTTAGAAAGTTCCTTCTAGCTGCTTTGTGTGTTGGCAGTCAGGAGGCTGGAGGTGGGAAGTCCTGGTCCTACCCCATTTCTCTGCCCTCCCTGGTTCCCGCTGACCCACTGCCTGAGAAGGGACAGGCCCAGAGGGTCCAAGGGGGTTAGAGAAGAGTGTGGGCCAATCTGATGCCCACCCCTGCCCTCTCAGAGGTGGCAGCACCTTGGACGGAGGAGACAGTGAAGCAGTGTCTCTACCTCTACCTGGCCCTCCTGCCTCAGAACCACAAGCTGATCCACGAGCTGGCGGCCGTGTACACTGAAGCCATCGCTGACATCAAGCGGACAGTGCTGAGGGTCATCGAGCAGCCGGTGAGGCCCCTGAGCCCACCAGGCCCTGCCCACCCATGGGCAGGGCTTCATCCCCAGCTCCAGTTCTTCCCCTACCTGCTCCACCTCAGAGTGTGCCAAACCCAAAGGGTGGTCACCCCGGGCCAACCAGGGCTGTGTAGCTTGCGGGCGGGCCGCATGTCACTCATCGGTTTCTGAGGAAACATCAGAGTGGCCCAGCAGTTAGGAGCCAGGAGCTGGACAGAGCTGGGTTCGAGCTCTCTTCCCACTTTCTCACTGCGACCTTGGGCCCTTCAGTAAAAATGGGGAAGACGTTCCAGTCCCTCCACACTGATGCACAGGGTCCATGAACTCATGCACATACACCTCAGTGTCACTGTCACTGTCTATAAGCTGGCCTTCCCTCTGTTGCTAATGGGACTCGAGCTGTCGTTATGTAAAAATAAGTCCTTCTCACTCCTCCCCTTGGAGCCACAGAGCTGCCACGTGAGAAGCGGCTCAGTGACAGACTGGCACCTGAGATCAGAACATCTGCTTTTCCGCTTTGCAGCAGGACCTGAAACCACCTTTTTTCTCTCTGTCTGACATTTTTGGATTACTGAACATTTTCATGTTAAACGGAAGAGGGAGAACTGTATGTTAATCCCCACCTATCTGCCACTTGGGTTCATTAGGACCCTTACCTGGAAGATGGAGACAGTCAGGAGGAAACAGATCTTTAGACCTATTCTCAAAGTCAGCCAGCTGTGTGGAAAAGTGATCCCAAGGGGCTGTGAGCTCCTCGAGGGCAGAGAGCGTTGGTTTTAGTCAGGAGCAGAAACGTTACTAGGGGAAGGTGTCGCCCGGCCCCAGCTCCTGTATTTGGCATTCACTGTGGGAGGCTCCAGACGCAGCAGCAGGTGGAGCCTCATCTGGGCTCGCGGTCATGCTGGCTGCATGTGAGAGATCAAGTCTTGAAGGGGGTGGATGGGGCTAGGAATATCTTTACCAATGAGTGAAGCACAGTGGGCATTCAAAGCAGGTCAGGTGTGAGCCACGGAGGAGGGGCCTGCAGGAGCACAACCCGGTAAGGGCTGGGAGCTGGAGCAGGCCCTCGCCCGGAGAGGCTGTGAGAAGAGGCCAAGGTTCCTCTGACCTCTCCCACCTTTCCCCCCCCTGCCCTCCAAATCCTGTCACCAGCCTCACCCTGGGCCCCAGCAGTCCCCGCAGCCACACTGCCACAAATACCCAAGCTTCCCCTGAGCTCTCACCATGGGTCTGGTCATCCCTGTCTCTGCTTCTAGATCCGAGGAATGGGCATGAACTCCCCGGAGCTGCTCCTGCTTGTGGAAAACTGTCCCAAGGGGGCAGAGACACTGGTAACGCGGTGTCTGCACAGCCTCACAGACAAAGGTGACCCCAGAGGTCCCCCCTTTCCTGCTTTCCTCCCTCTCCTTAGCCTTCCACGGGACCTGGGGATCCGAGCCAGTGGTCCCCAGATGGTTGCCCCTCTTGTGGGTCTCTGCCTTTCCTTGGGCCTCAGTTTCTCCATCTGGAACGCTGTGGTGCTAACTGCACGTGAGCAGCTAAGGGTGAAAGTTTCCTGCTGTGAAGTTGCCCTCCCCTCTCATACACCCACCTGCTTGTCTTCCCTGGGTGCCCACCCTCCCCTGTGCTCCCCTCTGTCTCCAACACGGTGCTTCCTGCTGCTTCCACACAGTCCCACCCTCCCCGGAGCTGGTGAAGCGGGTCCGGGATCTCTACCACAAGCGACTGCCAGATGTCCGCTTCCTCATCCCGGTGCTCAATGGGCTGGAGAAGGTATGGAGCCGGAGGCCTGTCAGTCCCCGCTGCCTGGGAGGGGTCAGGGCAGCAGGTAGCTTCAGCAGCAGTTGAGCCAGAGGCACGTAGCAGAGGGTAGAAGGCACCCTATCTGTGGTCAGAAGTCGTGGAAACCACTGACACCCATGGTCTGATATGCACAGCAGCTCCTGGACTCATCTTCATGGGTAGCGGGTGCCAGTGGCTCTGCTGCTTTCTCTACCTCAAGCAGGTCCGTTCCCCTCTTTGAGACTCTTTCCTCATCTGTCAGGGATCATGATGCCCCTTGGCACACACACGTGACATGCAGGGGGCTCAGCTGGGACGCTCTGCCCTGAGGGTGTAGTGAGGGTAGGAGGGGCTGGGTGAGCCAGGACTCGCCCTCACCTCCCCTGGGCAAGCAGGAGCGGCTTGTCTGGAAGGGAAGTGAGGGTGTATCTGACTCAACCCCCACCCCACCACCTTCTCCCCGTAGAAAGAGGTGATCCAGGCCCTGCCTAAACTCATCAAACTCAACCCCATCGTGGTGAAGGAAGTCTTCAACCGCCTGCTGGGCACCCAGCATGGTAGGTGATGATGCAGCCTCCTCCCTCCTCCCCACCAGAAGGCCCACCCACCCGGGTGCTGGGTCAGGAGGCAAGATGCAGGGTGCCCTGCTCCCTGGAACACCAGCTGTACTGGACGCCTCCGTGTCCCAGAGCTCCCAGGCCACCCTCTGGGATGTTTGGATGATGGTTTCATTCACGGCAGGGGCAAGACCATGGAGCTGGGGCCAGGGGCATTTCCTTTGACGAGGTCAGAAAGAAACGAAAGTAAAATTTTCAACTTAGAAAAACTAGCAAGTAAGGTAGAAGAGGTTCTTTGCCCCTTACCCCGGTGGTTGGAACCAGAGAAAGAATGGAGGCTGATCTGTTCCACGCAGACCCTGGTGGTTTAAAACACACACATAGACGGCTCTGGTACCATCAAAAGAGCAGCAAAGACCTCCCTACCCCCAGCCTCCTCCCATCCAGGCCCCACGCAGGGGAAGGTTCCAGCCACTTTATGGAAGTCCAGCCTGGCCCCATCCTGCCCTGTTCTGCAAATGCGCATGAGCCCCTGTGCTGCCTTGGTGTCTCTGTTGTTGGTGTCTGTGTTGGGGACTACACAATGAGGTGGTCTTCCCTGCCCTTAGGGGTACACAGCTCAGGGCCATGCCACACTCTACCTATGGTGGGAGTCCCGGATGGGGAGGAGCACACTTTGGTGACCTCAGGCTGCCTGAGGGTACCTGCTGCCTTCAGCGTTCCCTTTTTCTGTTGTCAGTTACTTGCCCTGCTCCAGCCCTGAAAGCAGAGGGTACCTCATCTTTGCTCGCAGCTCCCCCAATCTGAGAAACTCAAACCCGTCTCTTCACTTAAGCAACTGTACTGTCTCCCCCGCCCTTCCTTCTGCCTGCTGCAGGTGAGGGAAACTCGGCCTTGTCCCCCCTGAACCCTGGAGAGCTCCTGATCGCATTACACAACATCGACTCCGTGAAGTGTGACATGAAGTCCATCATCAAAGGTGAGGTGCTCTCCCCACTCCACTGGCCTGGCCCCTGTGGCCCCACGGGCAGGACCTCAATCACCCACATGCCTCCACTGGAATCTGCCAAGTCAACTCACAGCCCCACCAGTCAGCTCTGCAGAGACACCTCCCTTCCTCCCTCCCTCCCTCCTTTTTGTCCCTTCTCCTTCCTCCCTCCTTCCTCCTCCTTCCTTCCTTCCTCCCAAGTTTTACCCTTTACAACCCCGACTTTTTCTGCCTCTGTCTAAGGCACTCTGACGCACCTGCTGTGGGCTGGCACAGAGTGGGCCTAAAGCAGTCGGTAGCCACGGCCCTCGCCCTGAGGAACAGAAGGAAGCAGGGCACACCATGAGTGGTAGTCAGAGGTGCTGCAGCAGGGCAGACCCAGGGCTCCAGGGCACTTGTGGGCTGGGGTAGATGAGGCAGGAGAGCTTGCCTCCACGGCAGCAGGGTCAGTGACAAACTGGCTAGCTCATCATGGCCCACACTCACTGAGCATGCTCTGCACTGGGCTCTCCCTGAACGCCTACAGGCCTGAGCGTGCTTGTCCTCGAATGTGCCACCTGGTGAGTATGTTCAATCCCATTGTGTAGACAGGGATTGGAGGCTCCAGAGAGGTTAGGTGACTTACTCGGCCTCGCAGAAGCTAAGTGGTGTAGTGGAAAAAACAGAATCTGAAGTGAGATGGACCTGAGTGGGAGCCCCAGCTCTGCTGGTTCCAGGTCTGAGTACCACCTCCCCTGAGAGTGCCCCTCCACCCCTCCCTGAGCAAGGTTTCTGGGCCAGGAGCCATCCTGTCCCACGGAGCTGGACACCCTCACTATCGCCTTCTCTATTCCAAAGACCGCTGTCCTTTGATTCCTCTTCTCACCCTCAGACCTGGGGAAGGGGCTTCCTCCCTGTGCCGCTCACTTCTATGCTCCAGCCTGAAACAGCTTTTCAGTGACTTACTTCCTAACCTTCCCCGCAAGTTCTCTCAGAAACTTTTGAAGTCAAGAGAGGAGCTTATGGAAATGTCAAACCCACATTAAAACTGAGCAGGGGCCAAAGCCGGGGGAGACCAGCAGGGAGGAGAGAGCTCCAGGCTCAGAGGCCAGGGCTATGGTCTCACATTCCCAGACCCCTTTGGTGATCTGCGGGCAGTTCTACCGTTCCCAGGACAGTATGCTCATATTGTTTGCATACAATTTGAGGGGATTCACACACACACACACACACACACCCCAAGACCATTTGTGGACCCAGATTCTCCTAGATGCCCTGAGGAGCCTAGGCCCAAGGAGAAAGGGCCTTGCCAGAGGTCACACAGGCGACCAGGAGCCAGGTCCCTGGAGGGGTCGGCAGGGCCTACCCTACACAGCCCCACCTTTTTCTTCCAACACGCCCAGGCCTGCACACTGCGGGCTAGACAGTCCTCCAGCTGGTGTCCCCAGCACCCAGGCCACATTTTCCCCCTGCTTGGGCACCAGCAGATGGCTGGCCTCACTCTCAAGGTCACGAAGTCCAGTCCTTTCCTTGTGCACTGTTTGCTCCCCCATAGACCACCCTGTTCCTCTGGAGAACTTGTCTATAACTAGACCCACTCCTGGTAGTCTGTTCCAGCATTAAGAAAACTCAGCATCTCTGCTCCCCCATATCCATCCTGGGTGGTTCTGGGGACACGGGAGGGAGAGCCCCAGCCCTGTCCTTCCAGGGTGTACAGTCCAGGGAGGGACACAGGAAGTCCCTGGCCAGTAACAACTGAGGAGTGTCCTGAGACTGGGCAGAGGGGTGACCTAATCCAACCTGGGTGTCGGACATCAGGGAGGTCTCGAAAGAGGGGACCCTTGGGCTGAGACCAGGGAAGGACGAGTAGGCAGGAGGCTGCAGGGACCGAGGAGGCGCTCGCCAGCTGGTTCTGGACCTGCAGTGCCAAGCCTGGTGACCTAGGGGACAAAGGAGGGCCCTGGTCTAGAGAAGAGGTCAGGCTGTGGCCACTGGGGAGGGCGCCCCTGGGGGCTCTTGCAGGTCAGGTGGGAATTTGGCCTGTCTCTTGAGGGTCTCTGGGAAGGGAGTCAGGTCTGATCTTTCCAAAGCCCCCTGCAGGCTATTGTATGGAAAGTTGATCAGAGGCTCACGGGAGGCACAGCTGACAGGGAAGGAGGGGAGGGGTGATTCTGGAGCCTTTAGGTGGCTGAGTGGGCAGCACCAGTGACCACCTGGCCCTGAGGAGGAGCGGGGCTTCCTCGGTTTCTGGCAGGTCCTCTGCCACTCTCTGCTCTGCCCATTCAGCCTCGTCCCCACTTGTCTATGCCTCCCCCTCCCTTAGAGGTCCCACCCCTGTTCTCTGTTAGCCTCTCAAGGATTTTGGGGGTTGTGGGGGGTGCTCTTCTGGCTCAATAAAGACTTCCTGGTTGACACTCACATGGCAAGTGGTGTTTGGGGAAGGGCTTCAAAGGCAGCTCCTGGGGCCTCTCATTAGCACAGTGGATTGGGGCATAGCCACCCACCCGGGGAACAGACCCCAGGGCCTGCCTTCGTGGGTGCTCGTGCTGTGCTAACCCTCTGGGTCCTACTGGTACTGGCACTGGGTGTTAAGCTGGGGGCTCATTGTATGCCCTGGCTCCAGTCGCCTCTTGTCCCTCCCTTCACTATTACTCTACTGATTCTACCCTTATTCCCCACACAGACCTTGGCCTGGCACCCCCCATCTTTCCAGCACCAGCGCAAGCCCTGTGTCCCTGTCAGGAGTGGGTGGGCAGTTCCTTAGCCCTCTGCTGAGCTGGTCTGTGGATTGCTGTTCTCCCTGGAGGGGCTGGTGGAAGCCAGTGGCTGCCTTTTCTCCCTAACAGGGGTGGGGGGCCCTGCCACTCCCCCAGGGCTTGGCAACACATCTTTCCCAAAGTCATCCTCAAAGAGAGGGTGTCACGGGCTCCCTGTTCCACTCACTGTGGGGCTTCCTGGAGTTGAATGTCTTCTCCCTTGAACCAGGCCTGCAGGTTTTCCAAGCGCGGGGCTGCAGTGTGTCTTCTGCTGGGTCAGGGGAGTCTCCTGTCTCCGCCGGGGACTTTAGAAGTCAGGGTTGGCTCTTGCCCTCATGTGGGCAGACAACAGGGCGGGGCTCTCAAAGGGTGCTGGCGCTCCCACCTCCCAGGGGGCAGCTGGGCAGAGAGGACAGGCCCACTCTCCGCCTCCTCGCAGCCACCAACCTGTGCTTTGCGGAGCGGAACGTGTACACGTCAGAGGTGCTGGCCGTGGTGATGCAGCAGCTGATGGAGCAGAGCCCCCTGCCCATGCTGCTCATGAGGACCGTCATCCAGTCCTTGACCATGTACCCCCGCCTGGGGGGCTTCGTCATGAACATCCTGTCCCGCCTCATCATGAAGCAGGTAACCCACCCCCAGCTACCCATCCCCAGGCTGCAGATGGCAGCACACCAAGCTGACAGAACTCCCCTTCCCCTCCTGACCCCCAAGGGAGCCAGGTGGAGGATGGCTGGCTCTGCCCTGCCTCCTGCCAGGAAAATAGCAGTGCTCCAGGGTCTATGACTTGGCCAGCTCCCAGGTGATGAGGGAGGGCAGCTGGGTGGTAGGAGCGTGGTAGCCTTCAAGGAGCCTACACTCAGGAGAGACATGGCCGCTCCTCACCCCCAGCACTGTGTGCTGGGTCAGGATGCATCTCCGAGCTGACACATGGTCCAGGTTTTTGAGGGGTGCTAGAAATTTGGGCTTTAGAAATGCCCTGATTGAGTCCAGGCGTTATGGCTCACACTTGTAAGCCTTTGGGAGGCCAAGGCAGAAGGTTTGCTTGAACCCAGGCGTTTGGGGCTGCAGTGAGGAAGAATCGCCCTACTCACTGCACTCTAGCCTGAGCAACAGAGTAAGACCGTGTCTCAAAAAAAAAAAAATTACCATGATGAAACAAAAAACAACCCCATCTGCAAGCCCCAGACTCGATTTGGCCTCTGGGTTGCCACTTTACAACATCTGGCTTAGAGGTTATATGTGGATTCAGACAGACCTGGGTTCAGATGTGCCCCTCCTTCCTCATTTGACCCTGGACAGGTCCCGCACCCCCACGGACCTCCGCTGTTTAGCAGAGCTAATATCGCCCCCTGGAGGCTGCCGTGAGAATGTCATGAGAGGTGCTCCTGCAGCACTTAGCCTGGGCCTGGCCCAGCAGGGGAGGTCCAGAAAAGGCAGCCCTGGGTTTTCCACCTCCTTCCCAAGTTGACCTCATGGTCCAGCTGCCTGGTTTGGGAAGACAAAGGACCCTGGAGGGAGGTCAGGGCTGCTTGTGGCGCATCCAGAGGAATGGACAGTGGGATTTGGGCATGGTCTTGGCAAGGTCTTTCTTCCAGTGTTGGGGCTGGGAGTCTGCCTGTGTGCCCCTCCCGACGGCTCCCTCCTTGCCTGGTCCAGGTGTGGAAGTACCCCAAGGTGTGGGAGGGCTTCATCAAGTGCTGCCAGCGCACCAAGCCCCAGAGCTTCCAGGTCATCCTGCAGCTGCCGCCCCAGCAGCTGGGAGCCGTCTTTGACAAGTGTCCTGAGCTCCGGGAGCCCCTGCTGGCTCACGTCCGCTCCTTCACCCCCCACCAGGTACCCTTTCCCCCTACCCCAGGTGTGTGGTACCCCCTGGGTCCCTCCGGTTGGGGGGGAACTGAATGGAGATGAACACCAGAAGGCCCTGCACTGCTGGGAGCTCTGGAGGGTTGGCCCCAGGATCTGAGGTGTGCAAGTGGGCTCTCTGTGCCAGAGCTGGCCTCAGTACCCCCTTCCTGCTCTCCACCCAGCAAGCTCACATCCCCAACTCCATCATGACCATCTTGGAGGCAACCGGCAAGCAGGAGCCAGAGGCCAAGGAGGCATCTTCGGGGCCCTTGGAGGAGGTGAGGGCCCTGCAGCCTACCCATCTGGATCCTCAGATCCTCACCCAGTACCCCAGGCCAGCAAGGCTCACCGGGGCCTGCTCCCGACCCCCGAGACACGAAGGCCACCCCTGCCTCTGAGCCACCCATCTCCCAGGGGATGCTCCTACTGGAAGGGAGTTGGGGGTCTGGGGGACAACTGCCCCTCCCTCCCTGTGCCCATAGTGAAGAGCTCAAAGACCACCTCAGGGTGGCCCTTCTCTTGCCCACTGTCCTCTGAGCCACTCGCCTCTGAGCTTCTGTGTGGCCCTCCTCACCCCCAGGATGACCTGGAGCCCCTGGCCCTGGCCCCTGCCCCGGCCCCCCGGCCTCCACAGGACCTCATCGGCCTACGGCTGGCCCAGGAGAAGGCCTTAAAGCGGCAGCTGGAGGAGGAGCAGAAGCTGAAGCCCGGAGGAGTGGGAGCCCCCTCCTCTTCCTCCTCCTCTCCCTCAGCCCGACCGGGCCCGCCCCCGTCAGAGGAAGCCATGGATTTCCGGGAGGAGGGGCCTGAGTGCGAGACCCCGGCCATCTTCATCAGCATGGATGATGACTCGGGGCTGACTGAGGCCGCACTGTTGGACTCTAGTCTGGAGGGGCCCCTACCCAAGGTAGGGAGAGCAGAAAGATCCGGGCTGGGGTGAAGGTGAGGGGCGGGCGCCAGGGTGCAGAGTGTGGAGGGGACCGCGCCCTCCTCCGACTGGCTCCCCTTCTGTCATCAGGAGGCTGCAGCAGGCGGATTGACCTCGAAGGAGGAGCGGAGCCCCCAGACCCTCGCCGCTATTGGAGAAGATGCTGTGAAGACCCCCAGCCCGGCCGCCGAGGATGTGGGGGAACCCGAGGCCAAGGGGAACAGCTGACGGGTCTCGAGGGGGAAGGAGGGTGGGACCGGGACGTGAGGCTGGGAGATGGGCAGAGCTCGACCTGCGGATGGTTTGCCTTAAAAAAATAAATAAAAGATGTGAAATTGGGCAAGTTACTGCAAAGAAAGAAAACAGTGGGCCTGGGTCGTGGGTGTCGTCTCGAGCCTGGCGCGACGTCGGCTGTGGGGCTGCGCGGGATCGGGAGTGCGCGCCCAGAGCCGGCGCGGAGCACACACTGGCCCAGCTCCCCGCGCCCTCCCCGGTAACGGCCCTCCTCCAGTGCTCAGAAACCTGCGGTGCCAGCGTGCGGTTCGCTTGACCTCCCTGTCTGCAAGTCTTCCTCCTAGAGGTCTGTGCCTCCCTGCGAGCCATGGGGGACCTGCCGCCCTACCCTGAGTCCCTTCCCCAGCAGCCCCCGAGCCGGAGGAGTTCTCAGGCCTCCGAGAGGCGGCGCAGCTGGGGCCAAGCTCAGCCCCTGGCAGCCGACCCGGAGGAGGAGCGGCAGATGCCTCCAGACGCCCAGCACAGCACCTCAGGCTGGTCACAGAGGCGCAGCCTGTCCCAACAGGAGAGCTTCCTGATGCCCCGGGCCTTCCAGGCTGAGGAAGTCCAGCTGGGTGGCACGGAGTACCCATTCATGAACTCGGGCTTTCCCTCAGAGTTTCAGCCCCAGCCTTACCCAGATGAAAGCAGGATCCAGGCTGCCCAGGGCACCACCAGCCTAATACTGCAGGGGCTCCAGCAGGGCCAAGGCGGCCTATTCCAGCACCTGGACTCTGCCTTCCAGGAGCCCCCGGTCAGCCCCTTGAACCAGTTCAACCTGTACCAGTCAGACCAGATCTATGAAAGTGCCCAGCACGGGCCCTACAGAAGAGACGACCCTGCCCTTCAGTTCTCGGGCTCTGAGCTGGGCTTCCCGCAATACAACGCCGAAGTTCCCGAGCCAGAGCCGCTGGAGCTGGCAGTGCAGAACGCCAAGGCCTACCTGCTGCAGACCAGCATCAACTGCGACCTCAGCCTGTGAGCAGGGGCCAGGAGAGGGGCTGGTGGGGGACCCAGGTAGGGAGGGGCCCCAGCCAAGGCCCTGCCTTAGTCAGTCACACAAGGGATGTCCCTCATGGAAAACCAGTGACTGCTCTGAGCCTCTCGTGCAGCTCAGAGTTGGAATCAATGGCAACAACAGCTGGCATTTACTAATCAGACGTGCTGGCTGCACACACTTAATTCTCAGCTGAGATGAGCGCCTCTGCTCATCCTGCTTTACAGAGGAGACAGACAGACAAGTTGGGTTGCTTACCCAAAACCACACATAGGATGCAGCAGAGCCAGGGTTCCAGAACACGTGATTTGGCTCCCCAAGCCCTCTTCCTTTACTTATTTTTTTCAGACATAGTCTCCCTCTGTCCCCCAGGCTGGAGTGCAGTGGCACAATCTTGGCTCACTGCAAGCTCCACCTCCTGGGTTCAAGTGATTTCTCCTGCCTCGGTGTCCCCAGTAGCGGGGATTGCAGGTGCACTCCACATCCAGCTAATTTTTGTATTTTTAGTAGAGACAAGGTTTCACCATGTTGCCCAGGCTAGTCTTGAACTCTTGACCTCAAGTGATCTCCCTGTCTCATCCTTCCAAAGTGCTGGGATTAAAGACATGAACCACCGCACCCAGCCCAGCTCCCAAAACTCTCTTCTTACCCAGCAACGAAACCTCCCTGCCTGAGGAAGACACTTGCCAAAGCCACTTAGCTGCAGTCACAATGCACCGCTCTCAGCCTCCATGAGATACCCAGGAAGCTCTCATCCTCGGGGAGTGGACAAGCAACCAAAAAACTGATAAACTGAAGTTAAGGGCGGCTCCAGTGAAAAATAAGGGAGGCTAAGAGGGCTGGGAACACATGAAATAGTGTGGGTCTGGCCAGGCGCGGTGGATCATATCTGTTATCCCAGCACTTTGAGAGGCCGAAGCAGGCAAATCACCTGAGGTCAGGAGTTCGAGACCAGCCTGGCCAACATGGCAAAACCCTATCTCTACTAAAAAATACAGAAATCAGCAGAGTGTGGTAGCATGGGGCGGTAATCCCAGCTACTTGGGAGGTTGAGACAGGAGAATCGCTTAAACTCAGGAGGCAAAGGTTGCAGTGAGCCAAGATCATGCCACTGCACTTCAGCCTGAGACTGAACAGAGTGAGACTCCATCTCAAAAAAATAGTGTGGGTCAGGGAAGGCCTCTCTGAGGAGGGGACATTTGATTAGGGCCCCAAAGGAGGCGAGGGAGGGCACCTTGCAGATAACTGAAGGAAGAGTGAGCCAGGCAGAGCACATGGCAAATGCAAAGGCTCTCAGGCTTGCGGTCTTTGAGGAGTAGTAAGGAGGGGCTGGTATGTCTGGAACCAAGGGAGGAAGAGGGAGAAGCGGGAGAAGCGAGGCTGATGAAGTAATGGTTCTTGTTAAACACAAGGCTCGGCCCCACCCCTCCAATGCTCAGCGCCTGCTACGGCTCCCCTTTGCCCACAGTGGGAAGCTCAGACTCCTCACCACAGCCTTCAAGGCACCTGGCCTGAACCATTTAACACCCTGCTCATGCCTGCAATCCCAGAACATTGGGAGGCCAAGGTGGATGGATCACTCGAGGTCAGGAGTTTGAGACCAGCCTGGCCAACATGACGAAATTCCGTTTCTACTAAAAAATTTTCAAAATAGCCAGGCGTGGTAGTGCGTGCCTGTAATCCCAGCTACTCAGAGGCTGAGGCAGGAGAATCGCTTGAACCCAGGAGGCGGAGCCTGCACCAAGCTGCGATCATGCCACTGCACCCCAACCTCTCAAAAATAAATAAATAAATAAAGCTGCAAACCCTCTTCCATCCCTGGCACCTCAGGCCCCATTCTCTACATTATGTGTCACCCTAGAAATTACCGCCCCATGCCTGACACAGTATAGATATTTTGCTTGTTTGATTAGTGTCAGTCTCCTGGGTGCAGTGGCTCACGCCTGTAATCCCAGGACTTTGGGAGGTAGGCAGATCACAAGGTCAAGAGTTCAAGACCAGCCTGAGCAACATGATGAAACCCCGTCTCTACTAAAAATTAAACATTAGCCAGGTGTGGTGATGCACACCTGTAGTCCCAGCTACTCAGGAGGGTGAGACAGGAGACTTGCTTAAACCCAGGAGGCGGAGGTTGCAGTGAGCCAAGCTGGTGCCACAGCACTCCAGCCTGGGTGACAGACTCTGTCTCAAAAAAAAAAAAGAATCAGCTACACCTGGGCAGGGACCTTTCTGTTCCCTACTGTGTCCCCAGCAGCAGGCACAGGGCCAGGCACAGGGCAGCCGGCTCAGTGAGCTGAGTGAGTGATGTCCCCCTCCTCCCACTCCTCCTGCTGGAGGCAGGTATGAGCACCTGGTGAACCTGCTGACCAAGATCCTGAACCAGCGGCCCGAGGACCCCTTGTCCGTCCTGGAGTCACTGAACCGCACCACGCAGTGGGAGTGGTTCCACCCCAAGCTGGACATGCTGCGGGATGACCCAGAGATGCAGCCCACCTACGAGATGGCAGAGAAGCAGAAGGCGCTGTTCACCCGGGGTGGAGGCGGCGCCGAAGGCGAACAGGAGATGGAGGAGGAGGTGGTGAGTGAGCCAGACAGGAGAGGCGGGCGCGGGATGGGGGCGGGGGCCCAAGCTTACTTAAGGCACAGCCTGTGCCAAGGCCTGGAGGCAAACAATAGCATTCCACAATCCAGCCACAAAACAACTTCAGTCTTGGCCGGGTGGAGTGGCTCAGGCCTGTAATCCCAGCACTGGGAGGCTGAGGCAGGTGGATCACGAGGTCAGGAATTCAAGACCAGACTGGCTAACAGGGTGAAACCTTGCTTCTACTAAAAATACAAAAATTAGGCGTGGTGGCGGGTGCCTGTAATTCCAGCTACTAGGAGGCTGAGGCAGGAGAATCGCTTGAACCTGGGAGGCACATGTTGCAGTGAGCTGAGACTGAGGCACTGCACTCCAGCCTGAGCATCAGAGCGAGACTTTGCCTAAAAAATAAATAATAATGGGCGCAGTGGCTCACGCCTGTAATCCCAGCACTTTGGGAGGCCGGGGCGGGCAGATCACGAAGTCCAGAGATCGAGACCATCCTGGCCAAAATGGTGAAACCCAGTCTCTACTAAAAATACAAAAAGCTGGGCATGGTGGCGTGCACCTGTAGTCACAGCCACTGTGTAGTCACAGGGAGGCTGAGACAGGAGAATTGCTTGAACCTGGGAGGCAGAGGTTGCAGTGAGCCGAGATTACGCCACTGAACTCCAGCCCGGCACCTCGCGACAGTGTGAGACTCTGTCTCAATAAATAAATAAATAAAAATAAAAATCATAGGTCACAAATGCTTTAACACCTTGAAAACCCCACCCTAACATTGAAAAATCTAAGTCAAATTATCTTAAGTCTGGGACTGTCTGTATTTAATTTCACAATCCCACAATCAGATAATGCTTAAAATTGGGGTCAAGCGTTCTTTCACTTGTTCAACAAACTTGTGTTGCGGACTCTATGATAATTCTGACACCTGCTTGGTCCCCTGCTAAGAGCTTCCAGCACGTGCTGTCATTTCACCCTGTTACCCAAGCACCAGCCATGCAGGCTACATGCTGCTGCTCTCTGCACACAGAGCCAGTCACTGAGACATTCCGAATTGCCAGCTGGAGAGTTTTCCCCCCGCCTTTTAAAAAAATTTTTAATTAATTAAGTCAGGGCTGGGCACAATGGCTCATGCCTGTAATCCTGGCACTTTGGGAGACTGAGACAGGCAGATCACGAGGTCAGGAGTTCAAGACCAGCCTGGCCAACATGGTGAAACCCCATCTCTACTAAAAACACAAAAATTAGCCGGGCATGATGGCCCGTACCTGTAATCCCAGCTACTCAGGAGGCTGAAGCAGGAGAATCGCTTGAACCTGGGAGGCAGAGGTTGCAGTGAGCTGAGATTGTGCCACTGCATTCCAGCCTAAGTGACAGAGCAACACTCTGTCTCAAAACAAATAAATAAAAATAAATAATTGAGATGGGGTCTTGCTATGTTGGCCAGGTTTGTCTTGAACTCTTGGCCTCAAGCCATCCTCCTGCCTCGGCCTCCGCAAGTGTTGGATTACAGGCATGAGCCACCATATCTGGCCAAGAGCTGGAGTTCTTAATTTGGGGTCTGTGGAAGGGCAAAATCGGGGGCTTTGTGGCCTGTGAATGCTTCTAGGAAATGACTCATAAAAAATGGATGATTTGGCATTTTCTATTTTTTTTTTCTGTCTAGTGCGAGGCAAGGCTCTTATTTCTCTCGTTTTCTATCTTCCAGACAGCTAGCCAGGACCTTCAACGGCATTTAGGCGATAAACCATTCCTTCCCACCCCACACAGTTTTCAAATGCCTCCTGCACCATCTGTTTCCCCACACAGGGTCCTACCAGAGTCTCTGCTCCCGGCCTTGGCTCTGTGGATGGCGTCCAGCTCTGAGACCCTCCTGTTTACTGCTGACAGCAGCTCATGCCGGGTGTCGCTGTTTTGGTAGCATAAAAGTCTCCCCATCACTGAACCTCAAGTGCTTGACTATTCTCACATCTATCATTTTATTGATTGATTGATTGATTGATTGATTTGACATGGAGTCTCACTCTGTCACTCAGGCTAGAGAGCAATGAACTCTGCTCACTGCAACCTCCACTTTCCGGGTTCAATGTGATTCTCCTGCCTCAGCCTCCCGAATAGCTGGGATTACAGGTGTATGCCAGCACGCCCAGCTAGTTTTTGTATTTTTAGTAGAGATGAGGTTTTCCCATGTTGACCAGCCTGGTGTTGAACTCCTGACCTCAAGTGATCTGCCTGCTTCAGCCTCCCAAAATACTGGGATTCAGGCATGAGCCATGCGCCCAGCCAGATCTATAATTTTAGACTAACTTTAGGGCCAAGTTTCATTCTTGTTGCCCAGGCTAGAATGCAATGGCACGATCTTGGCTCACCATAACCTCCACTTCCCAGATTCAAGCCATTCTTCTGCTTTAGCCTCCCAAGCAGCTGGGATTACAGACATGCGCCACCACACCCAGCTAATTTTGTATTTTTAGCAGAGATGGGGTTTCTCCATGTTGGTCAGGCTGGTCTCGAACACCCAACCTCTGGTGATCCACCTGCTTCGACCTCCAAAGTGCTGGGATTACAGGCATGAGCCTATAAACCACACCAGCCTATGTATTTTTATTTCTTTTTGAGATGGAGTCTCGCTCTGTCACCCAGGCTGGAGTGCAGTGGTGTGATCTCAGCTCACTGCAACCTCTGCCTCCCATGTTCAAGCTATTCTCCTGCCTCAGCCTCCCAAGCAGCTGGGATTACAGGTGTAGGCCACCATGTCCAGCTAATTTTTGTATTCTTAGTAGAGACAAAGTTTTGCCTCGTTGGCCAGGCTGGTCTTGAACCCATGATCTCAGGTGATTCTCCCACCTCTGCCTCCCAAAGTTCTTGGGTTACAGAGATGAAGTCTCACTCTGTCGCCCAGCCTGGGGTACAGTGGCGCGATCTCAGCTCACTGCAACTTCTGCCTCCTGAGTTCAAGCCTTATCCTCAACCTACTCAGTAACTTGGATTGCAGGTACCTGCCACCATACCTGGCTAATTTTTTTTGTTTGTTTTTTTGAGACAGAGTCTCACTTTGCCGCCAGGCTGGAGTGCAGTGGCACCATCTTGGCTCACTGCAACCTCCGCCTCCTGGGTTCAATCGATTCTTCTGCCTCAGCCTCCCAAGTAGCTGGGATTACTGGCATCTGTCACCACACCCAGCTAGTTTTTTTGTATTTTAGTAGAGATGAGTTTCATGTGTTAGCCAGGATGGTCTTGATCTCCTGACCTTGTGATCCCTGCCCGCCTTGGCCTCCCAAAGTGCTGGGATTACAGGTGTGAGCCACTGCACCCAGCCAATTATTTCTATTTTCTTTTTCTTTTTCTTTATTTTTTTTGAGACGGAGCCTCGCTCTGTCACCCGGGCTGGAGTGCAATGGTGCAGTCTCGCCTCGCTGCAACCTCCGCCTCCCAGGTTTAAGTGATTCTCCTGCCTCAGCCTCCTAAGTAGCTGGGATTACAGGCACCTGCCACAACACCCGGTTAATTTTTGTATTTTTAGTAAAGACAGGGTTTCACCATGTTGGCCAGGCTGGTCTCGAACTCCTGACCTTATGATCCACCCACCTCGACCTTCCAAAGTGCTGGGATTACAGGCCTGAGCCACTGCGCCTAGCCTTAGGAACCTTGCGATTCCATCAGGACCACATGGATACGCCAGGATAATCTCAAGATCCTCAACTTGATCCCATCTGCAAAGTCCCGCCATGAAAGATCACGTATTCATAGGCTCCGAGAAGTAGGACACAGATATCATAGAGGTGGGTGGAGGGGTGGCCGCTATTCTGCCTTCCACAGCTCCTCTCTCTCTGTCCTGATTTCAAATTCTGGCAAGAGAGCAGATGGTCTCCCTGGTTTGAGTCATGTGTTTCCCTGGCCAGGTCAGGTCAGCCAAGGGCAGGCAGTTTATGCTGATCTCAAAAGAAAAGACCTACTTGGGGCCGGGCGCGGTGGCTCACACTTGTAATCCCAGCACTCTGGGAGGCCGAGGCAGGCGGATCACTTGCAGTCAGGAGTTTGAGACCAGCCTGTCCAATATGGTGAAACCCCATCTTTACTAAAAACACAAAAATTAGCCGGATGTGGTGGTTCAAGCCTGTAATCCCAGCTACTGGGAAGAATTGATTGAACCCAGGAGGCGGAGGTTGCAGTGTACCAAGATCATGCCATGGCACTCCAGCCTGGGTGACAGAGTGAGACTCTGTCTCAAAAATAATAATAATAGGCCGGTTACGGTAGCTCATGCCTGTAATCCCAGCACTCTGGGAGGCTGAGGCAGGCAGATCACTTGAGGTCAGGAGTTCAAGACCAGCCTGGCCAACATGGTGAAACCCCATCTCTACTAAAAACACAAAAATTAGCTGGGCGTGGTGGTGCACACCTATAATCCCAGCTACTGGGGAGGCTGAGGCAGGAGAATGACTGGAACCCAGGAGGCGAAGGTTGCAGTGAGCGAAGATCATGCCACTGCACTCCAGCCTGGGTAACAGAGCAAGACCCTGTCTCAAATAATAATAATGATAAATGAAGATTTGGGGACCGGTGTTGGAGACAGCCTTGTGGCCACATGGATAGGGGCTGGCAGGCATTTCCCTGGGAAAGGGAAGGACACTGGTCCGTGGCCTGTGCAGATACACATCACACTTCTTCCCCTGGCTTCTGAGCCAAAACTGCTGGCTTCTACTTTCAGCCTGCTTGCTTTCAATCCCTTTCTGAGCCTCTCTTTCTTCCTTCTTTCCTTCCTTTCTTCCTCTTTTTCCTCCTCCTCCTCCTCTCCTTTTCTTCTCCTTCCCCACCCCACCCATCCTCTGGCTGTGGGAATCAAGCAGATGGTGTAGATGGAGGCAGTGAGGGCAGGACTTACCACCATTCTCTAACATCACTGACTCCTCCATTCCCGACCTGTCTTCTCCCTTAACTTTCTGTGAACTATGGAGTACATATTAGGAGTGCTTTGGGCTTCAAGTCACAGAAATCATGACTAAAAGTGCCTTCTTTGTTACAGGAGCAAGAAGGCCAAGGTGGGTAAGGCAGCTGAGCGATGCTACTGGGGACCAGGCAATATCCACCATTCAGCTCCACCACCATTAAGGGTGTAGGACTTTGTCTCCCATGTGTTGCCTCATGGTCCCAAGGTAGCTGCTGTGGCTCCATATTTTACATCACCATTCCAGACTGGAAGAATAGGGAAGGACAAAAGGCAGAAATTTTCTCCTAGTGTGGTTTTGCCTTTTCTTCTCTACCAGGGACATCCTGTCCAAGGGCTTTCCCTACATCTCATTGGCCAGCATGAGTGGCCTGAGCAGCTGAGTTACAAAATCTTTTAGGTCTCTCTCTCTCATTTTTTTTTTCTTGAGACAGAGTCTCACTGTGTCACCCAGGCTGGAGTGCAGTGGTGCGGTATCAGCTCACTGCAACCTCTGCCTTTTGGGTTCAAGAGATCCTCCTGCCTTATGAGTAACTGGGATTACAGGTACCTACCACCACGCCTGGCTAATTGTTGTATTTTTAGTAGAGACATGGTTTCACCATCATGACCAGGCTGGTCTCAAACTCCTGACCTCAGGTGATTCACCTGCCTTGGTGTCCGTAAGTGCTGAGATTTCAGGCGTGAGCCACCACACCAGGCCTTTTTTTTTTTTTTTTTGAGACAGGGTCTCACTCTGTCACCCAGGTTGGAGTGCAATGGTGCAATCTCAGCTCACTGCAACCTCCGCCTCCTGGGTTTAAATGATCCTGTCTCAGCCTCCTGAGTAGCTGGGATTACAGGTGCCCACCACCAGGCCTGGCAAATTTTTGTATTTTCAGTAGAAATGGGGCTTCACCATGTTGGCCAGGCTGGTCTCAAACTCCTGACGTCAGGTGATCCACCTGCCTCAGCCTCCTGAAGTGCTGGGATTTCAGGTGTGAGCCACTGCCCCCAGCCTCTCTTGACTCTAGAAGAATCTGGAAGAGCTAGGCTAGGAAGTGGAGCCTGAGCGTTCTCCCCTCCACCCTCCACCCTACCCTGCTGCAGGGGGAGACACCAGTGCCCAACATCATGGAGACTGCCTTCTACTTCGAGCAGGCTGGCGTGGGCCTGAGCGTCGACGAGAGCTTCCGCATTTTCCTGGCCCTGAAGCAGCTGGTGGAGCAGCATCCCATCCACACCTGTCGCTTCTGGGGCAAGATCCTGGGAATCAACCGCAGCTACCTGGTGGCTGAGGTAGAATTCCGGGAGGGCGAGGAAGAGGTGGAGGAGGAGGAGGAGGTCGATGAGGTGATGGAGGGCACCGAGGTCCTGGAGGCTCACGGCGAGGAGGAGGGAGAGGGGGACGAAGAGAAGGCCTTGGACTTCATCCCTAAGCCCATGTGGAATCCACCACCTGTGATCCCCAAGGAGGAGAGCCGCTCGGGCGCCAACAAGTATCTATACTTTGTGTGCAACGAGCCGGGCCTGCCGTGGACTCGCCTGCCCCACGTCACACCGGCCCAGATCGTCAACGCCCGAAAGATCAAGAAGTTCTTCACAGGCTACCTGGATGCACCAGTTGTCAGCTACCCACCCTTCCCGGGCAACGAGGCCAACTACCTTCGGGCGCAGATCGCCCGCATATCGGCTGCCACACAGATCAGCCCGCTGGGCTTCTACCAGTTTAGTGAGGAGGAGGGCGACGAGGAGGAGGAAGGTGGTGCTGGGCGCGACTCCTACGAGGAGAACCCCGACTTCGAGGGCATCCCCGTGCTGGAGCTGATCGACTCCATGGCCAACTGGGTGCATCACACACAGCATATCCTGTCGCAGGTGAGCGCCGGAAGCCCGGGCATGACCCTGCAGTACTGACATCAGGCTGGGCGCGGTGGCTCACGCCCGTAATTTCAGCACTTTGGGAGGCCGAGGTGGGAGGATCAAGGTCAGGAGTTGGAGACCAGCCTGGCCAACATGGTGAAACCCTGTCTCCACTAAAAATACAAAAATTAACTAGGTGTGGCGGCAGGCACCTGTAGTCCCAGCTACTCGGGAGGCTGAGGCAGGAGAATTGCTTGAACCCGGGAGTCGGAGGTTGCAGTGAGATGAGATGTCGCCCCTGCACTCCAGCCCGGCAGAATAAGACTACATCTCAAAAAAAAAAAATACTGACATCAAGTTCTTACTGTGCTAGGCATTGTGCCAACTAATATTCATTTGTTCCTTCATTCATCCATTCATTCTTTCATCAATTCATTCATTCATTGGTTCAACAGATATTGGTGGATAATCCCATCAGAAACCTTTGGGGACAGATGCGTTTTTTTTCTTTTTTTCTCTTTTGGAGGAGTCTCACTCTTGCCCAGGCTGGAGGGCAGTGGCGTGATCGTGGCTCACTGCAACCTCCACCTCCCAGGTTCAAGCAATTTTCCTGCCTCAGCCTCCCATGTAGCTGGGACTACAGGGGCACACTGGCATACCTGGCTGTTGTTCTGTATTTTAGTAGAGACAGGGTTTCAATGTGTTGCCCAGGCTGGTCTCAAACTCCTGAGTTCAGTCAGGCAATCTGCCTGCCTCGGCCTCCCAAAGTTATAGGCATGAGCAATGGCTCCTGGTCCATTTTTTTTCTTTTAAGACGAACAGTCTTGTTCCATCACCCAGGCTGGTATGCAGTGACATGATCATAACTCACTGCTACTCTGACCTCCCAGGCTCAAGCAGCCCTCCTGCCTCAGCCTCCAGAGTAGCTGGGACCACAGGCATGTACCGTCACCACTGATTTTTTTTTTAATAGATGGGGTCCCACTGTGTTGCCCAGGCTGGTCTCCAACTCCTGGGCTCTTTCCACCTTCCAAAGTGATCCCTGTGCCTTGGCCTCCCAAAGTGCTGGGATTACAGGTACTGGCCATCCAGCTCAGCATCTACATTGTTTTGTTGAATCCAAGTCACTCATTTTGAGATGAGCACAAACATCATTCCCATTTCAGAGTTGATGACGCAGAAATGGGCTATAGCTGGCGCTTATGTTCACCCATTAGTCCAGCAAGCATTTATTGGCTCTTGGGCTGGGTGAGGTGGCTCACACCTGTAATCCCAGCACTTTGGGAGGCTGAGACAGGTGGATCACTGCAGATAGGCGTTTGAGAACAGCCTGACCAACATGATAAAATACCGTCTCTACTAAAAATGCAAAGTTAGCTGGGTATGGTGGTGCGTGCCTGTAATCCCAGCTACTTGGAAGTAGTGGCTTGCACCCACCACTGCACTCAGCCTGGGCAGCAAGAGCAAAACTCCGTCTCAAAGAAAAAAAAATTGCTGGGCACAGTGGTTTGCACCTATAGTCCCAGCTACTTGAAAGGCTAAGTCAGGAGAATTGCCTAAAACTGGAAGGTGGAGGTTGCAGTGCCGCTGCCCTCCAGCCTGGGCAATACAGTGATACTCTGTCTCAAAACAAGCAAACGAAAACATTGATTGGCTCTTGGGTATCTCATGTAAGGCAACAGCAATCCAATGAGAGAGGCACCCAGGACACCCCCATTTCACAGATGAGCAGACAGGAGATCCTATGGACTGCCGAATGTCAGCTGCACAAGCGGGGAGGCTTTGGGGATCTCTTCAAGGCTGTATGACCAGTACCCAGAGCAGTGCTTGTATAGAGTAGGTGCTCATTAGGTATATGTTAAAGAATAAACGAGTGGACCGGGTGGCTCACACCTGTAATCTCAGCACTTTGGGAGGCTGAGGTGGACAGATCACTTGAGGTCAGGAGTTCAAGACCAGCCCGGCCAACATGGTGAAACCCTGTTTCTACTAAAAATACAAAAATTAACTGAGCGTAGCTGGGTGCGGTGACTCATGCCTGTAATCCCAGCACTTCGGGAAGCCGAGGCAGGTGGATCACAAGGTCAAAAGATCGAGACCATCCTGGTCAACATGGTAAAACCCTGTCTCTACTAAAAATACAAAAATTAGCCAGTGTGGTAGCTCGTGCCTGTAGTCTCAGCTACTCAGGAGGCTGAGGCAGGAGAATAGCCTGGACCCGGGAGGCAGAGGTTGCCGTGAGCTGAGCTCATGCCACTGCACTCCAGTCTGGGCAACAGAGCAAGACTCTGTCTCAAAAAAAAAAAAAATTAACTGGGCATGGTGTCTGGCACCTGTAATCCCAGCTACTTGGGAGGCTGAGGCAGGAGAATTGTTTAAACCAGGAGGCAGAGGTTGCAGTGAGCTGAGACCATGCCACTGCACTCCAGCCTGAGCAGCAGAGTGAGACTCTGTCTCAATTAAAAAAAAAAAAAAAAAGGAATCAATGAGTGAATGAATACGTGAATGAAGGTCGCACAGTCAGGAGTCCTCACCTCAACATAGCAGCTCCGTCAGCCTGTTTCCCACCTCCCCTTAACTGTGCAGCTAAATCTTGCCCTCTTCCCATGCCTGGGTCTCTTGAGGACAGGGCCATGCTTTAGTCCCATTGGGCCTTCACCTCCCTGGAGGGTGCAGGCTGGGCTCCATGGACTGGGGCATTACCTGAGCTTCCCCCAACCCCCAGGGCCGCTGCACTTGGGTGAACCCTTTGCAGAAGACAGAGGAGGAGGAGGACCTGGGGGAGGAGGAAGAGAAGGTGGATGAGGGGCCGGAGGAGGTGGAGCAGGAGGTGGGCCCCCCACTGCTAACACCACTTTCAGAAGATGCAGGTAAGACGCATTCTCAGCCTGCACACCACTGGCCAGGAAGGGCTGGGAAGAAACGGAGGGGCAGCTGGACTGCTGGGGTCCATCTCCCCCATCCTCCCCTCCCAGCCTCAGAGGCTCAGCTACAAAACAGGCACGATCACAGTGGCATCCCCCATCGGGAGGTTCTGGGAACATGTCCATAGACTTGTGGCAGTGGCCCAGACCTTAGGCTATGACCTTTTGAGTCCTGCATGGGCCTGAAGTGAGGGAGATGTAGTTGGGGAACCCTCCCTAAAGACTGGAGCTGGATTGGATCACAAGGTCAGGCGTTCAAGACCAGCCTGGCCAACATAGTGAAACCCCAGCTCTACTAAAAACACAAAAAATTAGCTAGGTGTCGTGGCAGGTGCCTCTTATCCCAGCTACTCGGGAAGCTGAGGCAGGAGAATCGCTTGAACCTGGGAGGTGGAGGTTGCACTGAGCTGAGATTGCACCACTGCACTCCAGCCAAGGCAACACTGTGAGACTGTCTCGGAAAAAAAAAAGATTGGAGCTGGGCGTGTGTGTATTGTTGTTGCTGCTGTTGTTCTGAGACTGAGTCTGGCTCTGTCGCCCAAACTGGGGTACAGTGGTGCAATCTCCGGCTTACGGCAACCTCCCGGATTCAAGCGATTCTCTTGTCTCAGCCTCCTGAGTAGCTGAGATTGCAGGCGCATGCTACCACACCCAGATAATTTTTGTATTTTTAGCAGAGACGGGGTTTCACCATGTTGGCCTGGCTGGTCTCAAACTCCTAACCTCAAGTGATCCACCTTCCTCAGCCTCCTAAAGTGCTGGGATTATATGCATGAGCCACTGTGCCCAACCTGGAGCTGGATTTTGGATGAATGGACAGGAATTTCCTAAGGTTGGGGCCTCAGGCACCCACAGGGTAGTGGAGAGAGAGGCTAGGAGTGGGTAAGGGGACAAGTCCTGGATTTGAAACTAGATCCTGCCAGCCTGTGCCCTCTGCACCCTGGTCCAAACCGATGGCCAACCCGGGAGTGGAATCACAGCGGCTCCCCAGTCTGGGGGCCCTGCTGGGCACCAAGCACTGCAGCAGATGTGCTGCAGACACTGTCACCAGGCCTCAATGCCACCCTCCAACAGAGGCCAGGTGAACCTCCCCATTTTCTGGGTACAGCTACTGAGGCTCAGACAGGTGAACTGGCTTCCTGGGGTCACATAGAGAGTGGTCCAGGCTGGGTGCAGGGGCTCAAGCCTATAATCCCAGTACTTCAGGAGGCCGGAGTGGGTGGATCACCTGAGGTCAGGAGTTTGAGACCAGCCTGGCCAACATGGTTAAACCCCGTCTCTACTAAAAATACAAAAAATTAGCCAGGAGTGATGGCACACACCTGTAATCCCAGATACTCAGGAGGCTAAGGCAGGAGAATCGCTTGAACCTGGGAGGCGGAGGTTGCAGTGAGCTGAGCTCATGCCACTGCACTCCAGTCTGGGCAACAGAGCAAGACTATCTAAAAAAAAAAAAAAAAAGAGAGAGAGTGGTCTGCAGCCAGGGTTCAAACACCGAAGCCCGAGCTATTGGTCGCTGTCGTTCCCTTCATAACCCTCCAGGCCTCCCTCATTGTTGCCTGCCTTCCTATGGGGCACAGTACAGGGCCTGGGGCCTCCCTGACCCTGACACCCCTCTCTGCTGCCTCTCCACCACAGAAATCATGCATCTGTCACCCTGGACCATGCGCATGTCCTGCAGCCTCTGCCCACAGTATTCGGTGGCCGTCGTGCGCTCCAACCTCTGGCCCGGAGCCTATGCCTACGCCAGTGGCAAGTAGGTGTTCTCCCAGCCCCTCCCAGCAGGGCGATCCCTTAGGACTTCTTCAAGGCCTGGTTGGGCTGGGCACCTCGCCAGGGTGAGCAAAGATGGGGAGGGTCCCCTACAGGAAGCCCCAGGACTGACCCCTTCACAGCTCCTAGGAGTTTCACAGGTGTTGGGAACCACCAGCCGAACCCTGTTCGTGGGTGCCTTGTGTCCAGCAGTGACGAGAGAGTGAGAAAAGAAACAAAGACACAAGAATAGAATTTTACAGCATGGGTCCAGGGGTCCAACGCACTCTCACGGAGTGATCCGAGTTAGCACTGAACTCCCGCCCAGCTCCGCAATCCCCACAAGTCTTCAGCCTTCCTCACCAGGTGCCTGGCCACCGCCTGCTTCTACCAGCTCTGTCCACCAGATGGCGTGACGACTTTTCCTAGAATTTCCTTTTTAATCTCAATGCGAACCAGGACCATTCGCTCCGATATGAATCACAGCCCTGGTGGAATTGCACGTATTCTGGATACTTTAACACATTCCTGGCTTTTTTTTTTTTTTTTTTTTTTTTTTTTTTTGCCTTCTCTGGAAGCTGGGAAGAGGCATGTTTGCTTTTGCCAACTCCCTTCTTCTGACCATACCCCAATATGCCCACATCCCTCTGAAAGCAAAAGATCCAAACTTGAGGCCCCACTTGCCCATCCATCCGCTGCCCCCACCCACCCACCTGCTCTTCTGTCCCCCACCCAATCTGTGTCCATCCATTGTTGCATTTTTTTTCCTATTTTTTTCTCTTTTTTGAGATGGCGTCTCTGTCACCCAGGCTGGAGTGCAGTGGTGCAAACTCAGCTCACTGTAACCTCCACCTCCCAGGTTCAAGCGATTCTCCTGCCTCAGTCTCCAGAGTAGCTGGGATTCCAGGTGCCTGCCACCACGCCCAGCTGATGCTGTATTTTTTGGTAAAGATGAGGTTTTGCCATGTTGGCCAGGCTGGTCTCAAACTCCTGACCTCAGGTGATCCACCTGCTTTACCCGCCTTAGCCTCCCACAGTGCTGGGAATACAGGCATGAGCCACCACACCCAGCCAAGTATTGTGTCTTGAAAGGATCAGGGAAGAATTCCTGGGAAAAGCAGTTTTTCTTTTTCCCATTACCTCTTTCTTTTGTTTTTCTTTTTTCTCTCTCTCTTTTTTTTAAGACGAGGTTTTACCATGTTGGTCAGGCTGGACTTGAACTCCAGACCTCAGGTGATCCTCCTGCCTTGGCCTCCAAAGTGTTTGGATTACAGGCGTGAGCCACCACGCCCGGGGCCCCGTTACCTCTTTCTTAGGGAAAGGAAGAGATAATGGGGAAACGAAGGCAGAAGGAACATCCTAGACCAGAGTTTTCCAACTGTGAGTGCATGGCAATCCCCTGGGAATCAGGTTTGATGCAGATTCTGGTCTCATGGGTCTGCAACGGAGCCTGAGGTCTGCGTTTCTGACAAGCTCCCAGGTGTAGCCGAGGCTACTGATTCAAGGGCCACCTGAACCAGGATGGTAGGGAGTGCAAGGCTTCCAAAGAAGCTGTGCCTTTGAAGTCTCCAAGGAAGTCCTGGAGGAAAACAATTCTCTCCAGAAAAGCAAGAATGTAAAAATAAGGTCAAACCCACACTGCTCCTCCATGCAAACTCTGTATCCTGCCCTACCTTGCTTCTTGCTCTTTCTCCCCCTACTTCTGTCTTTTTTTTTTTTTTTCTTGAGTTGAAGTCTTGCTCTGTTGCCCAGGCTGGAGTGCAATGGCATGATCTCAGCTCACTGCAACCTCTGCCTCCCAGGTCCAAGCAGTCCTCCTGCCTCAGTCCCCTTAGTAGCTGGGATTACAGTCATAAGCCACCACGCCCGGCTGTTTTTGTATTATTAGTAGAGACAGGGTTTCTCCATGTTTGGCCACTCCTGACCTCAGGTGATCCACCTACCTTGGCCTCCCAAAGTGTTGGGATTACAGGCGACTGGCCCTCTCTTCCTCTTTATTGGCCTCTGTCTCCCTCTCTCCCTACCTCTTAGTCCCCTCCCTTTCCTCCCATTTATTCCTTTTTCCTTCTCTAGTTAAAATTCTGCAGAAAGGGTGAATTGGCTGGGTTAGGACTGAGCGCTTACCTCCTTGTTCATTATCAATCTGCTCTTATCGGAATGTAAGCACAACAAGAGGTTTGTTTGTTTGTTTGTTTGTTTGTTTTTAATAAGATGGGGTTTCACCATGATGGCCAGGCTGGTCTTGAACTCCTCACCTCAGGTGATCCACCCACCTCAGCCTCCCAAAGTGGTAAGACTACAGGCATGAGCCACTGTGCCCAGCCTTTATTTCTTTCTATCTTTCTTTTTTTTTTTTTTTTTTTTTGAGACAGAGTTTCACTCTTGTTACCCAGGCTGGAGTGCAATGGTGCGATCTTGGCTCACCACAACCTCCGCCTTCTGGGTTCAGGCAATTCTCCTGCCTCAGCCTCCTGAGTAGCTGGGATTACAGGCAGGCGCCACCATGCCCAGCTAATTTTTTGTATTTTTAGTAGAGATGGGGTTTCACCATGTTGACCAGGATGGTCACGATCTCTTGACCTCATGATCCACCCACCTCGGCCTCCCAAAGTGCTGGGATTACAGGCATGAGCCACCGCACCCGGCCTCTCTTTTTTTTAATGAGCCTTGCTTGGTGGCCCAGGCTGGAGTACAGTGGTGTAATCTCATGATCTCACTCACTGCAGCCTTCACCTCTTGGGTTCGAGTGATTCTCAAGCCTCAGCCTCCCAAGTAGCTGAGACTACAGGCACCCGCTACCACACCTAGCTAATTTTTGTATTTTTTGTAGAGATGGGATTTCACCACGGTGGTCTCGAGCTCCTGACCTCAGTTGATCCTCCTGCCTCAGCCTCCCAAAGTGCGGGGATTACAGGCTGAGCCACCGAGCCCGGCAGGGATTTTTGTCTAGTTTGTTAACTGCTGTGTCCCGAGCACCTAGATCATTTTATTCATGTCCCACATCATATGTCCAACACAAAGAAAATGTCACAATATAAATAAACTGATATCCAACATGAAATTATGTCTCACATAAATAAGAGCCACATATATAATTTAAATTTTAAAAAAATTTATTTACTTATTTATCGATTTATTTTGAGACACGTTTCTCACTCTGTCACCCAGGCTGGAGTGCAGTGGCATGATCATAACTTACTGCAGCCTCAAACTCCTGGGCTCAAGCAATCCTCCCACCTCAGCCTCCCCAGTAGCTGGAACCATAGGCATGTGCCGCCACAACTGGGTAATTTTTAAACTCTGGGAGGTGGAGGCGGGCAGCTCACTTGATGTCAGGGGTTCGAGACCAGCCTGGCCAACATGGTGAAGCCCCCTTTTACTAAAAATACAAAAATTAGTCCAGGCGTGGTTGCTTATGCCTGTAATCCTAGCACTTTGGGAGGATGAGGTGGATAGTTCACTTGAGGTCAGGAGTTTAAGACCAGTCTGGCCAAAATGGTGAAACCCTGTCTCTACTAAAAATACAAAAATTAGCTGGGTGAGGTGGTGTGCGCCTGTAGTCCCAGCTGCTCGGGAAGCTGAGGCGGGAGAATGGCTTGAACCCAGTAGGCAGAGTTTGCATCCAGCCTGGGTGACACAAAGAAACCCAGTGAGCACATTTCAGCCTGCCATCCTTGACTTTGCCATCATGCTACACACATGCTGGGTCCTACCTTTAAAGGAAGTCAAGGCTGGGGCCTTTGAAGGAGAATTTCACAGTGTCTCCACTGCCTCTCCAGAAAGTTTGAGAACATCTACATCGGCTGGGGTCACAAGTACAGCCCTGAGAACTTCAACCCGGCCCTGCCAGCCCCCATTCAGCAAGAGTACCCCAGCAGCCCAGCGATCATGGAGCGGAGTGACCCCACAGTGGAAGAGGAGCAGGCCGTGAAAGCAGTTCAGGAGGAAGTCCTGGCAGCCACAGAGGAGGAGGAGGAGGACAAGGAAGAGGAGGAGGGCGAGGAGACAGATGACTGAGGCCCTAGATATAGCCACTTTCCCCAAGCAGGTAGATAGCAGATTTTCCCTTGTAAGTAGTTAGTATGGATTATATTTTCACTGTCTGCTTCCTTTCCCCAGAGGGCAGGGATAGAAAAGGAAGGCAATTGCCTCAAATAAAATAAAATTCCTCCATGGCATTATGGGTGAGCCATTCATTCCTTTGTTTGCCACATCTGTTGACCTGGACTCCAAGTCAGGGCTCTTAGGCCCTGCAGAGGGTACAGAGGGCACAGACATTGCCTGGCAGAGTCTCTCCCACCTGTTTGGTTTTTGTTGTTGTTTGAGACAGGGTCTCATTCTGTCACCCAGGTTGTAGTACAGTGGCACAATCTCAGATCCCTGCAGCCTCGATCTCCTGGGCTCCAGCAATCTTCCCATCTCAGCCTCCTGAGTGCACATCACCACATACACTAACTTTTTTTGAGATGGAGTCTTACTCTATTACCAGGCTGGAGTCCAGTGGCATGATCTTGGCTCACTGCAACTTGCAACTCCTGGGTTCAAGTGATTCTCCTGCCTCAGCCTCTGGTGTAGCTGGGACTACAGGCACGTGCCACCACACCCAGCTAATTTTTATAGTTTTAGTAGAGACAGGGTTTCACCATGTTGGCCAGGATGATCTCAATCTCTTGACCTCGTGATCTGCCCACCTTGGCCTCCCAAAGTGTTGGGATTACAGGCGTGAGCCACAGCGCCTGGCCCACATTCACTAATTTTTGTATTTTTTGTAGAGACAGGGTCCTGAGTAGCTAAGACTCCAGGCACAGGCCACCATGCCCGGCTAAATTTTTTCAATTTTGGGGGGTCTCACTATGAGATGGGGTCTCACAATGTTGCCCAAGCTGGTCTTGAACTCCTGGCATCAAGCAATCTGCTGGTCTTGGCCTCCCAAAGTATTGGGATACAGCCACTGCAACCAGCCCCACCTGTTTTATTTATTCACTTATCTGGCCATCAAACTATTACTGAAACATGTCCTGTCAGCCCAGCCCTGTGCTGGGGACACAGAGGTGACCAGACAGCTGCAGCCCTGCCTTCCTGGACCTCACAACACTATAAGGAGCAAGACTCATCTCTAGACAGTGACAGCCCAAATGGGGAAGCCCAGAGGACTGACAGAGATCCCGAGCCAACTCTTAAAGGGTCAAGAAAAGAACAGGGAAAGGCATTCCAAGAATAGGGAACAGAATGTGCAAAGACCCAAGGGCAAGAGAGAGTGTGATATGTTGGCGTAGTTTTTCAAGCCTCATTTTAGGGGGTAGATAGTGTGAGGACTTAGTAGTGAGAGATGAGATTGAAAAAAGGTTGGCAGGGGCCAGATCGCTTGGGGCTTAACTTTGTCCTGTGAGCACTAGGGAGCTACAGATGGATTTTGAGCAGGGGAGGGCCCTGATCATATTCATGCTTTACAAAGATCTCTCTAGGCCAGGTGTGGTGGCTCATGCCTGTAATCCCAGCACTTAGGGAGGCCAAGATGGGTGGATCACCCGAGGTCAGGAGTTTGAGACTGGCCTGGTCAACATGGTGAAACCCCATCTCTACTAAAAATGCAAAAGAGTAGCCTGGCGTGGTGGCAGATGTCTGTAATCCCAGCTACTTGGGAGGCTAAGGAGAAGAATCGCTTGAACCCAGGAGGTAAACGTTGCAGTGAACAAAGATTATGCTGTTGATCGCCAGCCCAAAAGGTGACAAGAGTGATACTCCATCTCAAAAAAGAAAAGAAAAGAAAGACCAAAGACCTCTGTACATGCCAAGTGAAAGGTGGAAGTGGGGATGAGACAGAAATCTGGGAGACCAAGAGACAAGGTTGATGTAGGGGGTGGGGAAAGGGCTCAGGTAGAAGAAGAGCTTGGATCAGGGCTTCAGAGAACAAGGAACTGAGAAAGAGGAATTCCAGGGGGTCGAATGCAAAAAACTTGGAGGCTGGAAGTGAGGATAGAGTGAAGAGAAATGGTACACATCCAGGAAGACACCCGGGTCTGTGGCCTGGTTGACTGAGTGGACGGCAGAGATAGCTCTAAGATGCAAAAGAGGGGCAAGATTTGGTGTAAGACGTCAAGTTCATTGTAGGATTCTTTTTTTTTTTTTTTCAGAGACTATATCTGGCTCTGTCCCCCAGGCTGTAGTGCAGTGGCGTGATTATAGCTCACTGCAGTTTTGAGCTCCTGGGTTCAAGACATCCACCTCAGTCTCCCAAAGTGCTGGGATTCTGGGGTTCCAGACGTGAGCCATTCTGCCCAAACTATTGTAGGATTTTTAAAATTATTTATTTATTAAAAAATTATTTATTTATTTATTTGTTTTTAAGATGGGGTTTCACCATGTTGGTCAGGCTGCTCTTGAACTCCCGACCTCAGGTGATCCACCCGCCTTGGCCTCCAAAGTGCTTGGATTACAGGCGTGAGCCACCACGCCTGGCAGGATTTTTTTTTTTTTTAATGTGAGATGCCCTTGGGAGAAATGGGGAGGCCATTAACTACGTGAGACTAGAAAGATCTATGATGGGGCCTGGTGGCTTCAGCACACATGGGGAGCACTGACTACAAGTAGGAGCTGTTGGGATCAGGGGGAGACTTTGGGTTACAAGTGGATCACTGGGACACTGGGGCACCGTGGGGATCAATACAATTTGGGAATCAGGGATAGGTTTTGGAGGCCAAGTGAGGTTGTTGAAAATAAGTCATGAAGGTTAACCTTGGAGGTTGGTGGAAAATATGAAGGATGTTTGGGGTTAGCATTAATCAATAGTGGGTCAAAGGAAGTCCTTGGAGTTGTGTGGCAACACAGGGATTTGGCGGGTCACCAAGAGTGGGGAAGAATGGTAGGAGATGCTGTTGTAATTTGGGAACCTGAATATGTCAGTGGGAAACTTTGGAGGTCAGGGGAGTGTATGTTGGGAGTCTAAGGAGAGACTAAGGGTCACTTGGGGTCGGCTGTGACGGCTGTGACTTCATGGGAAGGCTGGATTGTGGACGAGGGCTCCTTTGGCGGAGGTCCCTCCGTTGCCAGGCAAACGGTTCCCAGGGCGCGGTCGCTAAGGACTTGAGACTTCTAACTGGCCACGCCTCTTTCCAATACGGGCTCCGCCCCCGCAGCCAACCAAAAGTCGGTCACAGGCACAAAGGCCGCGCCCACCTTCTCGCCCCGCCCACAGTCTCCGCCCGTTACCCGAGTGACCGCGGAGGATCGTCCCGCCTCCGGACCTGGGTGCCAATCGAAGAGGCGTCGCCCAGGCGACGACCCCACCTTTTCCGGTGCGGGCTCGCGGTTTCCGGCAGGGGGTCGGGCTGCGGGCGGCGGTCCGGCAGCCGCTGGGCCCGGGGGGCGCCCAAGATGGCGGCGGGCGGCACGGAGGGTGGCTCGGGCCCCGGCGCCGCCATGGGGGACTGCGCGGAGATTAAGTCTCAGTTCCGCACCCGCGAGGGTTTCTACAAGCTGCTCCCGGGCGACGGCGCCGCTCGCAGGTCTGGTCCGGCTTCCGCTCAGACCCCGGTGCCGCCCCAGCCGCCGCAGCCCCCGCCCGGCCCTGCCTCCGCCTCCGGCCCGGGCGCTGCAGGCCCCGCGTCGTCCCCGCCGCCCGTAGGCCCCGGGCCCGGGCCCGCGCTTCCCGCCGTGCGCCTCAGCCTCGTGCGCCTCGGAGAGCCGGACAGCGCCGGGGCCGGGGAGCCACCCGCCACGCCCGCGGGGCTGGGCTCTGGGGGAGACCGCGTCTGCTTCAACTTGGGCCGTGAGCTCTATTTCTACCCGGGCTGCTGCCGCCGCGGGAGCCAGCGGGTGAGCGGCCTGTATCGTGGGGCCCTGGGTGCTGAAAGGATGGGGGTTCCAGAGAACTGATAAGAAGGTCCCCGAATTGACATGGGACCCTGAGATAGACATCCTAAATGTGGTGGACGTCCTAGGGCGACGGCATTCTTGGAGAGAGTGTAGGATTCTGAAACGTGATGGGAGGCCCGCGGGGTGGTGGGCAGGCGTCTTAGAGGTGATGGTGGAAACCCCTTTATGCGTAGGGGTTCTGGGATGGTGAGTATTTTAGACGTGACCGGGTATCTGAGATGAGGTGGGATCCCCGGTTCTAGGGTGGCAGGCATGGTAATGGGGAATCGTGAGATGCAGGCTCAGAGGTGATGGAGAAACCAATATTGCAGCCTGGAGTGTTCGAGAGGGGTCTTGAGATTGAGCCCAGGAATGAGGAGAAGTCTAGAAGTGATGGGGGCCTTGAACGTAATAGGGGTCTAGAAGCTGAATGGGATCCTATAGAAAATTGGGGTCTGGAGATTATGAGGCTCCTGGAAGAGATGAGCATGTGGAAGCTGATGGGAGATCTTGAGGAGAGGCCCTGGCAGGGAAATCTGCAGGTGTGATTCAGGGCATCCCTAAAGCAGTGTGGTGAGAGCCCTGGCAGTTTATGGTAGTCCCAGAAATGTTGGGGATCCTCAGAGCCCACAGGTGATAAATGGGCCTAAAATGTGGGAGGCCATGAGGTTTGATGGGTCTCCGAACTGTGGCGGCTTAGCGACTCCAAAGTGAAGGGAGTACTGGGACGTTAGGCTTCAGAGTCCTGGGAATTTGGATGACCTCAAGGTCTGGGGGTCTTGGAATATTGTGGTAATAGGTCCCAAGGGAGTTGCTGAGGTTATAGGCTGGAGAGGTGGGGCTAAAAGGAATCGGAGCTCAGGAACTGTGTGGACCCAGAACCCTGATGCTGTGGACAAGGGTGTGTCTGAATTAGGGGTGACCCAACTTTGGGGAGACACTGTGGTCAAGGGGGATCCTTACCATCTTTTTCACTCCTCTGTGATTTGGGTCCCCTTCCTGCCTGTGGTTGCCCCCTCCTTCTCAACCCTCCTACTCACCTCCCCACTTCCCTCTGGGTTCTAACCCTGCTTCCTCTTAGTGGTTTCCCCCAACCTCAACATCTTCTTCCTTCCCCTCAGTGGCATAGACGGTTAACTCCTTTTCTCCCACCCCTCAAGTCCATTGATCTCAACAAGCCAATTGACAAGCGGATCTACAAGGGCACCCAGCCCACCTGCCACGACTTCAACCAGTTCACTGCTGCCACGGAGACCATCTCCCTGCTGGTGGGCTTCTCAGCCGGCCAGGTGCAGTACTTGGATCTCATCAAAAAGGACACCAGCAAGTTATTCAATGAGGAGGTGATTGCACCCCGCAGAGTCCCCAACTGCTCTGCCTTCTCACCCACCCACTATTCGCCATTAGGCTGCAGCCGCCTGGGGAACAGTGTAGACCTGAGATGGGCAGGACGAGGGACAGATGGAGAATTAGGGGACAGCAGCTAATGACAGCTGCACTTACTGTACCCAGGCCCTATGCTGTGTTACCCCCCCATGCTGAATACTCCTTAAGTTTTTTAATTTTTTTTAACTTTTATTAATTTTAATTTTTATGTATTTGAGGCAGAGTCTCGCTCTGTTGCCCAGGCTGGAAGGCAGTGGGGCAATCTCAGCTGACTGCGGCCTCCACCTCCCCGGTTCAAACAATTCTCCTGCCTTAGCCTCCTGTGTAGCTAGGACGACAGGTGTGCCATGCCCAGCTAAGTTTTGTATTTTTAACAGAGACAGGGTTTCACCATGTTGGCCAGGCTGTTCTCAAATTCCTGACCTTGTGATCCACCTGTCTCGGCCTCCTAAAGTGCTGGGGTTACTTGGAGAGCGAGGTGTGAGCCACCGCACCCAGCCACTCTTTGGGTTTTCATCAATCACTGGATACAGAAGTGGGCTGCCTATTTTGCAGATCAGAGAACTGAGGCTAGTAAATAAGTTGGGTCTTAGTTGATGCCCTTGTTGTTTGATTTCTGGACTCTGGAGGCTTTGGATTCAAAGCCCTGCTGCACCATTTACTCACCACGTGACTTTGGGAAGGTGACCATTTTCTGAGCCTCACTTTTCCTCCTCTGCAAAATGGGATTCCAGTTCCTCCCTCGCAGAATTGCTATTGTAGAATCATACATGGAGACTGCTCAGTCCTAGGCCAACTTGGCACACAAGGAGATGCCAGCAAACGACCTTATCCTTGGGCAGGGACTGCTCTTGGCTTCTGTCTCATTCTCTCTGGTCCAGAGGAGGTGTTCCATAAATATTCTCAGAATGAGTGAATGGCTGAAGGGAGTGAGTAGAACAGCAAGTGGATTAAAAATTCATTAGCTCATCCATTCACAAATAGTTTTTGAGCATCTGTTCTGTGCCAGGCACTGTTCCCAGCACTAGGGATATCACATCTCAGGGGCCTGGACAGGAGGCCCTGCCCTTTTGGAGCTTTCAGTCTAGCTGGGGAGACGGACAGTTAATCAAGTTAAGTCTTCGTGTGTCAGCAGGGGATTAAGGCCTGTGGAGAATTAAACAGTGGGGAAGGGGCTCAGGGAAGCTTGGAGAGGGTAGTGGGGTGGTCAGGAAAGGCCTCACTAGGAGGTAATATTGAAATAAGCACCTGAAGGAGGCAGGCGTGAAAAGTTACCTGGGGAAGGACATCCTTTTTTTTTTCTGAGGTAGAGTCTCACTCTGTCATCCATGCTGGAGTACAGTGGTGCAATCTTGGTTCACTGCAACCTCCGCCTTCCAGGCTCAACCAGTGCTCTCAATTCAGCCTCCTGAGTAGCTGGGACTACAGGTGTGCACCAACACACTGGCTAACTTTGGTATTTTTTGTAGAGATGAGGTCTCTTTATGTTGCCCAGACTGGTCTCGAACTCCTGGGCTCAAGTGATTCGCCTGCCTCGACCTCCCAAAGTGCTGGGATTATCGGTGTGAGCCACTGCGTATGGCCAAGAAGGACATTCTGAGTAGCGGGGCCAGCTAGGGCAAATGCAGGCTGGCACAGAAGCCGTGTGGCCAGAGGGAGAGAGGATGGTAGGTGAGTTCCAAGAAACAACAGAGGGACCGGCTCACGGAGAGTCTGGAAGGCCACAGAAAAGACTTTGCCTTTTACTCTTAGAGGGTAGCCTGTGGAGGAGCCTTTCTCAGCAGGCTCACCTGAGCCCTGGAAGGCAGAAATGGCTGGAGTGGTTATTTGCTCAGTTCTCCCAAAGATGGTCGGCACCTCATTCCCTAAGGGAGAGCAGCTCCTTAGTCACATAGGCTGGCTGCCTGAGGGCATTAGGTCCTCGGCCTCTGGAACCCTGCTTGAGAGAGGCTTCTAAGCATTGAGAGCCAGACAGTGCCAGGTGCTAGCTGATACTTCACAGAGCATCTCCGCGGCAGCTGCAGAGGACAGACAGGCCCAGGCAGTAGAGACTGAGGCCAGTCACACAGTATTGCAGGTGGTTGGAGTGGGGTGGTGAGAGGAGGTTACATTCTGGGTGTATTTTGAAGGTAGAGCCCCCAGGATTTGTTGAAGGATTGGGTTCAACAGGGGCAGTTGCTTACGTTTTTCATCTAAGCATCTAGCAGGATGGGGGGTGATCATTTGTCCAGGAATCACCTTCGAGCTGCCTTCTGGGTGCACTGATGTACAGAACAGTGAGCCAAACAAAGATCCCTGTCACCCAGGCTAGAGTGCAATGGCGCAATCTCGGCTCACTGCAATCTCTGCCTCCCTGGTTCAAGTAGTTCTCCTGCCTCAGCCTCCTGAGTAGCTGAGTAGCCACCATGCCCAGCTAATTTGTGTGTTTTTAGTAGAAATGGGGTTTCACCATGTTGGCCAGGCTGGTCTCAAACTCCTGACCTTATGATCCACCCGCCTTGGCTTTCTAAAGTGCTAGGGTTACAGGTGTGACCTAGGAGGAGCTGGCTTTCTGTGAAGAAATTTCTTGCTTGAAGTCTGACATAGAAAAGATTGGGGGAGGGTTAGGCAGAGCAGTGATCCCCAACCTTTTTGACACAGGAACCGGTTTTATGGAAGACAGTTTTTCCACAGAATGTTGTGGGGATGGTATTGGGATTGGGATGAACCAATATGATCCACCTCTGATCATCAGGAATTAGGTTCTCATAAGGAGCACATACCCTAGATCCCTCGCATGCGCAGTTCATGGTGGGGTTCGTCGGGTTCGTGCTTCTGTGAGGAGTGAATGCTGTGGCTGCTCCAGTAGGAGGCTGGGGTCAGGCTGTCATGCCCGCTCGCCCACCACTTACCTCCTGCTGTGTGGCCCGGAGGGTGGGGACCCCTGAGATAGAGGACAGTTCTACGGCAGGTAGGAAGGTCCCCTCACCAAAGATGGGACATCGAGGCTCCTTGGAGCACCCTGTGGCCACCTTGCAGCAGACCCCATTCCCCAGTGTTTTCATAATCTGGTGTCCATCTGTCACCCTCAGTTTGGGAACTTCTGAGGAGGGCCTGGTGTGACACCTGCTGTGTGAGTGGGGCCATGTCCAGCAGCCTTGGGGGCTTCGGGTTGGGGAGGAGATCTGCCTGGGTTTTACTGCCTTCTCCCAACCCCATCCTGTCTCCCCTGGCAGCGGCTGATCGACAAGACCAAGGTGACGTATCTGAAGTGGCTGCCTGAGTCGGAGAGCCTGTTCCTGGCATCACATGCCAGTGGCCACCTGTACCTGTACAATGTCAGCCACCCCTGCGCCTCAGCCCCACCCCAGTACAGCCTGCTGAAGCAGGGCGAGGGCTTCTCCGTCTACGCTGCGAAGAGCAAGGCACCCCGCAATCCACTGGCCAAGTGGGCAGTGGGCGAGGGTCCCCTCAACGAGTTCGCCTTCTCGCCCGACGGCCGGCACCTGGCCTGTGTGAGCCAGGATGGCTGCCTGCGTGTCTTCCACTTCGACTCCATGCTCCTGCGTGGGCTCATGAAGAGCTACTTTGGGGGCCTGCTGTGTGTGTGCTGGAGCCCTGATGGCCGCTATGTGGTGACAGGTGGCGAAGATGACCTGGTCACCGTGTGGTCCTTCACCGAGGGCCGTGTAGTGGCTCGAGGCCATGGCCACAAGTCCTGGGTCAACGCCGTGGCCTTCGACCCTTACACCACCCGTGCAGAGGAGGCAGCAACAGCAGCCGGTGCCGACGGAGAGCGGAGCGGTGAGGAAGAGGAGGAGGAGCCCGAGGCTGCAGGCACAGGCTCGGCCGGGGGCGCCCCACTCTCCCCGCTGCCCAAGGCTGGCTCCATCACCTACCGCTTCGGCTCGGCAGGCCAGGACACACAGTTCTGCCTGTGGGACCTCACTGAAGACGTGCTGTACCCGCACCCGCCCCTGGCCCGCACCCGTACCCTCCCTGGCACGCCTGGCACCACACCGCCAGCTGCCAGCAGCTCAAGGGGTGGTGAGCCTGGCCCAGGCCCTCTGCCCCGCTCGCTCTCCCGCTCCAACAGCCTCCCGCACCCAGCAGGCGGGGGCAAGGCGGGTGGCCCGGGCGTGGCGGCAGAGCCTGGCACACCGTTCAGCATTGGCCGCTTCGCCACACTCACACTGCAGGAGCGGCGGGACCGGGGGGCCGAGAAGGAGCACAAGCGCTACCACAGCCTGGGTAACATCAGCCGGGGTGGCAGTGGTGGCGGCGGCAGTAGTGGGGAAAAGCCCAGTGGCCCTATCCCCCGCAGCCGCCTGGACCCCGCCAAGGTGCTGGGCACCGCCCTGTGCCCGCGCATCCACGAGGTACCACTGCTGGAGCCCCTCGTGTGCAAGAAGATTGCCCAGGAGCGGCTCACGGTCCTACTGTTCCTGGAGGACTGCATCATCACCGCCTGCCAGGAGGGCCTCATCTGCACCTGGGCCCGGCCGGGCAAGGCGGTGAGTGGCCCCACGCCAGCCTGCCTGGGACCTGGCAGGACCCTTGGCAGGAAGAGGCAGGCATTGGCAGAGAGAGGGCTTTATCACTTTCACAGCCTCTGGCTCTGGGGTGACGGGAAGCCATGGAAGTCTTAGAGTGATGGGGTCTAGCCCTCGGCAACAGGCAGCAGAGAGGGGTGCGTGTGAGAGACGGCTGGGAGTGGGGGTGTCCAAGGCTGGCCGTCTGAAGAGCAGCAGATGGGCCCTGCATGGCCAGGTCTTAGTGCCTGTCACTCGAACCAAAATCTATTCCAGTTGGACATCTGTTTTTTTAAGTGGTGAAACTTTTTTGAGTGCTTTGGGCCAAAACGCTAGGGGGAATCTCAAGCCTGTGGGCCTGGCTGCCAGCGTGGGTCTGGGACTCAGGATCCGAGCCTCCTGCTGAAGGCGCAGGCTGGGAATCCCAGGCCCGGGTTCCAGTCCCACTCTCTGTGTGACCCTGGACAAGTCACTGCCCCCTCTGACCTCCAACTCATCACCTCTTAGAACAGAGCCTGTAGGATGGGCAGTGGGTGGATGCATTTGCCTGCTGGATGGGCTGTGGCATTGGGAAGTCACAGTAGGTGAAGCACAGGCCTGGCGCCCTGTAAGTTCAGAGCTGGTCTTGAGTGTCTGCTCCTTAGGGCTTTGGACTCAGGTGCCCAGGGTCCTAAAGGCCATGGCTTGGTTCCTTCTATCCTTGGTTTTGGAATCGTAGAGTCCTGAGTCCCTAGAACTTGAAAGCACAGTCTGAGCACCTCAGAGGCAAGATCGGTGGGATGCGGGGAGTCTGGTTGAGTCCTAAAAGAGACCCCTCTGTCTCCCTAGTTCACAGACGAGGAGACCGAGGCCCAGACAGGGGAAGGAAGTTGGCCCAGGTCACCCAGCAAGTCAGTGGTAGAGGTAGGACTGTCCCTGAGTTCTTTCCCCAGCACCTCAGGGTCCCTCCCAAGTTAGAAGGAAGCCCCAGTTTCCCCTTCCCCTCCCACCCTCACCCTTACCCCATCGTGTCACTCAGGATCTGAGGAGGACTTTGATTATTGAGTGAAAGTGCCAACTGCCAGGACAGGAAGCTAAGATGCAAGTTCCCAGCCTAGAGCAGCGGCCTTGGGGGACTCTGGGGTGGACCCAAGGGCAAGGCCAGGGTGGCAGCAGTTTTGGGGACTCTGGGCTGGCTCCCTCCCCTTGACACTGGCTGAAGTCTGGGTGGTCTCTAACCCCTCCCATCTCTCCCTCTCATCTTCCCCAGGGCATCTCCTCCCAACCAGGCAACTCCCCGAGCGGCACTGTGGTGTGAAGCCACGGACATTGGGGCCCCCACCCCACGCCCCCAGCCTCCTAGCCATAACCCTTCCCGCTGACCTCATGGATCAACGTATTAACAAGACTAACCATGACGGATGGACTGCTCCGGTCCCCCAACCTGCACAAAATTTGGGGGCTCCCCAGACTGGCCCAGACATTGGGGGGATGTCACGGTCCTTGTGGCCTCAGCCTTGTCCTCCACCCACTGCCAAGTACAATGACCTCTTCCTCTGAAACATCAGTGTTACCCTCGTCCCCGTCCCCAGCATGTGACTGGTCACTCCTGGGGAGAGACTCCCCGCCCTCCCACAAGAGCCCCAGGTATTTGGTGTGCCCCTCAGTCGAGTGTGCAGGGCCGGGGGTGGTCCAGCCCTTGCCCGGCCCCCACCCCAGCCACCCTTGCTATTGTCTGTGCTTTTGAAGAATGTTAAATTATGGAAGCCCCTCAGGTTCCTCCCTGTCCCCAAGGACCTCTTATTTATACTAAAATTCCCTGTTTTCTCAGCGGCTCTGTCCCCTTCGGAGGAGATGGTGTAGAGGACCTGTGTGTTTGCTCTTCGGTTCTAGGCAGTCCACTTTCCCCAGAGGAGGAGTGCAGGCCTGGTCTCCTGCCCAGCATGTCCCACCCCTTTTAATAGCAGGAAAAGCTGGAGCCCGGGAAGGGAAGGGACCCTTGAGACACACAGCTGGTGACCCATTCCAGAGAAGAGCATCCTGCCGGCAGCCAGGGCAGGGCCTCATCAAAGTCCTCAGTGGGTGTTAATTCCCAAAACTGCCCTGAACCACATTTCCTGGGCCCTGCCCAGGTGGGACTCCTCCGTCCTTGCCTCCTAGTTTCTCAGGCCTGGCCCTGCCGAGGCCCGGGCACCCCAGGCCGGCTGGTGTCCACTTTGGAGAGCTGTCCACCCTGGAAAAAAGAGCTCAGATCCCTCCTGGCTCTTGGAGCTGTAGGGAGTGTGTCTTCCCACTCCACCCTCCACCCCCCGAAATGTTTCTGTTTCTAATCCCAGCCTGGGCAGGAATGTGGCTGCCCGGCCAGGGGCCAAGGAGCTATTTTGGGGTCTCCTTTGCCTGAGGAGGGCTTGGCTCCACCACTGGCCTCCCCCAAGCTTTGGGTAGCAGGTCACCCCCATTCAGGCTCCAAGGGTGCCACCTCTCCTCACCACCCCTTCCCCACCTCCTGGAAAAAAAACATGTAAAGTGGAGACCCAGAGGGCTAAATTTAACTGTCTGAGTTGGAATCTGTCTCTGAGTCACCCAAGAAGCTGCCCTGGCCTCCCGGCCCCTTCCCAGGCCTCAACCCCTTTCTCCCACCCAGCCCTAACCCCCAGCTCTGGAGCTTGTTGGGAGCAAGGGGTTGATCGCTACTGGGTCACTCAGCCTTGATTGGCCCTGTTTCAGCAATGGGCGGGTTCTTCTTGGAATCTGTCACACCTGTAGCTTCCTCTGTGCTCAACCTTTTCATTGGGATGACAGTGTGAGAGTTGAGATTCTTCACCTGTCCCCCCTACTCTAGCACTAAAGGGTTCTGCAGGGCCCTGGAAGGAGGGAGCTTGGGGGGCTGGCTTGTGAGGGGTTAAGGCTGGGAGGCGGGAGTGGGGCTGGACCAAGGGGTGGGGAGAAGAGGAGGAGGAGGCCTCAGCAGCAGAGAGAAGTGGCCAGAGAGGCCCAGGGGACAGGCAGACATGCAACCAGGACTCCAGGTCCTGGACAGGGGCTGCCTGGCCCTGTGACAGGAGGACCCCGAGCCCCCGGCCCGGGGAGGGGCCATGGTGCTGCCTGTCCAACATGTCAGCCGAGGTGCGGCTGAGGCGGCTCCAGCAGCTGGTGTTGGACCCCGGCTTCCTGGGGCTGGAGCCCCTGCTCGACCTTCTCCTGGGCGTCCACCAGGAGCTGGGCGCCTCCGAACTGGCCCAGGACAAGTATGTGGCCGACTTCTTGCAGTGGGGTGAGTGCCTGCCCTCGGGGCTCCTGCAGGCGGGGTGGAGGTGGGGCAGGAGATGGGTCTGGGCACAGAGGCCTGGCTGTTGGGGGTCAGGATGGCAGGATGGGAATGGGGAGATCCTCCCATCCTGGGGCTCAGAGTGTAGACCTGGGTCCTGGGGCAACATTTCCTTGCCCTGTGCCACCCTGAAGGGGCAGAGTAAGGTCAGCAGAGGGCAGGGCGGCTATGACTCAGAGCCGTAGCTTAGGAGTCACAGCAGGCCAGGCTGCCAACAGCCTCCCATGGCCTCCCTGCACCCCACCCCAGGGTCAGGGCCAGGGTCATTCTGGAAGCTCCCTCTCCTGGGACCCTGCCCCCAAAAGTTGGCCCTATGGCCCTCTCCCCTGGTTTCTGAAGCCTGGGGCAAGCCAGGAGGAACAGCATGGGGCAGCTGCCAGGGGTGCAGCCAACAGGCAGGTGTTCGGCGCCAGCCTCTCCAGCTGCCCCAACAGGTGCCCAGGCATTGGGAGGGCGGTGACTCACTCGGGCCCTCGGGGAGAAGCAGCTTTGCAGACAGGCACCACCAGCGCCTGGGGGACAACTTTGGGTTCTTCTGGGTGTGCCTCCTTTCTCTGTAGGTTCTGCGCCCACCCCCCAGCCCCAAAGCCTTTGTCCCTATGAGCCGTGCAGGTCAGCCGCCATTACCCCCATCCTGGCTCCCTGCGTCCTTTAGTTCTCCTGGCCCGGGGCCTCCAACCTTCCAGCTGTCCCACAAATCCCCCTCTTTCCAGGGCCTAGGGCCAAGGCTGGAAGGAGGATGCTTCCCATACTGCCAGCTGCCTTGTCTGTCCCCCTCCTCCCCCAGTCCTGGACTCGGGCTCACTGGTCACTGGATTCTGTCACTCCCAGCACCCTGCCCCTCTAGCCCCTACATGCCCGGCCCTCAGTGACTGGCGCTTGGTCTTTGGCCTATGTGTGCCACTGTCTTCTTGCTTCCTGACTCTCCACCTTCCCCTGCTTCTTCTTGTGTCCCACGTCTTTCTGACCTAGACCTGGTTCCTTCTCCTCTTCCTCCCATTTCACAGATGGAAAGATGGAAGCCGAGAAAGGTTAGGCTACTCAGCCTCTAGAAAAACCTTATCCCAACCTCCCCTAGACCTTAATGACTCTCCTGGCCTCCCTTTAACAGGGGATGAAGTTGGGCTGGCAGGGTAAACTGAGACTTGGTGCAGTAGGGGTCTGGCTCTCCCAGGAGGAGCACTCCTTTTGTGGCCCGAGCTGCATCCTGCGGCCCCTCCCCTGCCAAGCCTGGGGCGGGGGAGGGGGCCTGGGTTCCCGCTGCCTTAAAAGGGCTCAATGTCTTGGCTCTCTCCTCCCTCCCCCGTCCTCGGCGCTGGCTGGTTCGTCCCTGCTGGCCCACTCTCCCAGGACCCCCGGAACCCTCCAGGGCCCCTCTCTTTCCTCCAGAACCCACTGTGTCTCCCCTCCCATACTCACCCCTCTCTCCATCCAGCCTCCACTTCTTCCACCCCTGGGACTCAAGGTCTCCCTGTCCCCACTGTCTCTGAGCCTTGAGCCTCCACCCGAGCCTGTCCCCCACCCAAGCTGCTCTGTTTAACATTCCTAGTCTGAGGACCTTGACTTCTGGGAGCCTGATTGTCATCTGTTAATAAGGGATGGGAGTGAGATGGGCCGGGATGGAGCACTGGAGTCTGGGATGTGTGACCATGCTGGCTTTGTTTCCCTGTTCCGTTCCTTCCCCCAGCCCCAAATCCAGGGTTTCCCAAAGTGTGGTTCAAGAACCACTTGCATCTCAATCTAGAGGTACTGGATACAACCCCACGTCTGGGCCATTACCCAGTACATACTACATGAGAACGTCGGGGTGGGGCCCCAGCTGCACCTAGAGTGGAGGGCTGCGTCTTATTTCCTTCTCCCCCTGTTCTTCAGGGTCTGCCCTTCTACAGACTTCCTTACCCCACCCTTGCCCTCTTGCACTACCCTGGAGCCCTCTGGCCCAATGCCGTGTCCCCTTAAGGGCTTCCCAGGCACCTCACCTCTATGGGAGGACAGTTTTGGGTTCCCAGAACCTTACACAGTGTTTATGTCCTTGGGAGGCAGATAGTTTTAGGGTGAAGCTGAGCAGCAGAGAGAAGGGGAGACAGAGGGACAGAGGGTGGGGCTTTCCCCCTGGTCTCCAGTGCCCTTTCTGGTGACACTCAGTTCTTTTCCCCCGCCACACCCCCAGCGGAGCCCATCGTGGGGAGGCTTAAGGAGGTCCGACTACAGAGGGAGGACTTTGAGATTCTGAAGGTGATCGGACGCGGGGCGTTCAGCGAGGTGAGTCCTGAGCCGGAAGGGAGTCCCAGTTGACTAGTGGTGGGCGGGTTATGGGGAGTGGGGCGGGGTCTTAGAAATTGATGAATGACCGAGCCTTAGAACATAGGGCCGGGCTGGAGGCGGAGCTTGGGACAAGTAGGCGTGGTGTGGTAGATGGGGCGGGGCCAAGGCTGGGTGCTGGCGGAGGTGGAGTTGGGTCTGGGCGAGCCCTTCTGCTTTCCCGCCATCTCCACCCTATCACCCTATATCGGCCTCAGGTAGCAGTGGTGAAAATGAAGCAGACGGGCCAGGTGTACGCCATGAAGATCATGAACAAGTGGGACATGCTGAAGAGAGGCGAGGTGAGGGGCGGGGCGGGCGTGGGGGTCTTGAGGGTCCGCGCCCCCTCTCCGGCTGCAGCTCCTTCGGGTGCCCTGCAGGTGTCGTGCTTCCGTGAGGAGAGGGACGTGTTGGTGAATGGGGACCGGCGTTGGATTACGCAGCTGCACTTCGCCTTCCAGGATGAGAACTATCTGGTGAGCTCCGGGCCGGGGTGACTAGGAAGAGGGAGAGAACCCCGTGCTGTCACTGGACGAGGAGGTGGGGAGAGGAGGCTCTAGGATTGGGGGCGCTGCCTGGAGACGCCTGTGGGAGAGTCTGTGTGCGGTAAGAGGGTGTGTCACTTGGATGAGGGGCCTTCCTTATCTGGGGCGGGGATGGTGTCTCTCACTGCCCGTTTCTGGGGCCGATTGGGGCGACTCTTTTATAAAGATGTCTATGTTGGGATAGTCTCTTATCTGGAATGGGATGGCTCTTTCGGAATTCTAACGAGGCCACTGCCTAGGCAAGGAGTGTCTGGGACCTGTTCTCTGGGTGTTGAGCGGTCTTTGGGTTCTTTTTCCCAGAACTTCTCAAGGGGAGTGAATCTGCCTAGTGACATCCCGGGAAAGGTTTTTTGTGTTTTTTTCCGGGGCGTGGGGAGCGGGGCCGCAGGTGGCCTGATTTGGCCCGGCAGATCTCTATAGTTCTCTCTGGGCTGGGGCTGCAGGTCTCTGCTCAGGGATGGGGTGTCTCTGGGAGTGGTTGTCCCGGCCATCCGTGATGAATCAGGGCCTCGGGGGACTACCGACCACCCATGACGCACCCCCTCTCAGTACCTGGTCATGGAGTACTACGTGGGCGGGGACCTGCTGACGCTGTTGAGCAAGTTTGGGGAGCGGATCCCGGCCGAGATGGCGCGCTTCTACCTGGCCGAGATTGT